CACTCACTTACTCACCAATTCACCCAGTCACGCATTCACATACACTCACTCACCAATTCACCCAGTCACCCATTCACATCCACTCACTCACTGACCAATTCACCCAGTCACGCATTCACATCCACTCACTTACTCACCAATTCACCCAGTCACGCATTCACATACACTCACTCACTGACCAATTCACCCAGTCACGCATTCACATCCACTCACTCACTCACCAATTCACCCAGTCACGCATTCACATCCACTCACTCACTCACCAATTCACCCAGTCACGCATTCACATCCACTCACTCACTCACCAATTCACCCAGTCACGCATTCACATCCACTCACTCACTTACCAATTCACCCAGTCACGCATTCACATCCACTCACTCACTGACCAAATAAATGCGCACATATATGGCTTTAAGTACACGCCTGCGTGTGCATTAACCGCTGCCTGTTGCTTGTTTGTGGGTGACTTCATGCCCGTGCGGACCCGCCACGTGCAGAGTCGCGCAAGTTCCGTGCGGGGGAGCTGTGGCGGGATAAAGGTGCCGTGGTGATGGCCGTGCGGCGTCCCGGATGATTTTTGTGCAGAGAGGTACACGCCACAGGTGCACGTCATCTTCACCCCCTCGAGCGTGAGTGCCGGGACGATGTTATTTCACAAGAGACGCGTAACGAACCATTGAGCCCTATGCCTGATGAGAACTTGCATCAAATTGGGGGAGGTGGCATGGCCCAGCGGCTCGCACGTTCACCACTTGTCGCGGACGTTCGTCATTTTTATTTCAGTGGCCGCCCTGATTGTTACTGCGTGTATAATAACCACGTTGATACACTCTCCGCTTCACAGTGTGCGCTAAAGATTCACGCGGGGAAAAACCTACAGCACTTGAGATTTTCCATGCCCTGTCATTGCCTGTGACCCAATCACCCCGAAGTTAAGCAGAGTTAAGGCTGGTAGTAATTGGTTGGAAGACTGCCTGGGAATGCCAACACGAACACTGTTGTTGACACCCCACAGCTTGAGCCGCGAGGCAGCTAGATTACATAGAAACGATGAATTCTTCTATCCATCCGTGTGGAATTTCTCGTGTGCAAAGGATGTTGTCCGTGAGTGCGCGCATTGTTCACGGGCACTCCGGTTTCCTGCCATGTGCCACTCGCAAATTAATTGTCTTAACATCCCAATGTCGGACAGTCCTGAAAAATCCCATTTTTTAAACGCAGTGAAGCTTTACTGGCTGAAATAATTGTGAGTCAAGTTATGACCCCTGAGGTTACCACATTTCATTTCAGCACAGAGGGGTAAACTACTACAAACCCTCAGGCAAGCAAAGGCTCTTAGTCGCAGTCATGCATGGTGAGTGGCCAATAGATTTGGTTCGGCGCCGAATGTTTGTATGAACTTCTTTCGCACCGTACATAGCCAACGGTGCTGATAGGATGAAGGATTGTGAGTGGCACGTGCCAGTGTGCGGCGTCTGTGCTGTGCAGGAGGCGAGCCTCCTCTCTGCACTGGCCCCGTTCCTCTCGGAGCACGACGTGCCACTGGCAGCTGTGGTGCACGAGGACGTGGGAACCGAGATCAAGGACTTCCGGCCATTCTTCCAGGGCCAGGTCTACCTCGACCAAGAGGTTTGGCAGTGATGGGGGCGTGGACAGGGTTTTGAGTCATGCTAGGAAAACACAAAAGAACAGCCTTGCAAATGCTTACCCATGCCACTGCTGGCAGGAGGGCCTCCACTAGGAGGAAGCACTGGAGCCTCTCCACAGGGTATTTTGGCCTACTCTTCCGTGTTGGCCCAACATCATGGAAGTGCTCAGAGCAACCATACTTTTCTCCCTCCACATGCAAACCTGCCCATTGGCCGTGGTGAACCCATTTATACTGCTGGGCGGATAGAGGGTCGAGGGGGTTATTTACTTCTAGATTTGAAGTTTTGGTGACTGCAAGGGTCCATACTCTGTGGTTTTTTCGGTTAAGTCACGTAGGTAAAAAATCAAATAAATCACGTTTCGGAGGCAACACAGGCTTCCGTCTTCAGTTGGCACCGTCACAGCAAAACTACTGTATCACTTGATACAGTTTGTGTTGCCTCCGAAACGTCGTGATTTATTTATTTTTATTTTCTTTTTTACCTACGTGACTTTACCAAAAAAACCAAAGAGTATGGGGTTATTTACCTTTCACCATAGTTTCAACTGCAACGCTGGGAGGATGAATCAAACCATTTACTTCTTTATTGCAAGTGCAGCGTGGTAGCGTCCTGCTATTTAGATACCATCGCAAATGCAATTCGATTAAATCGAATTTAGACAATGCCCATCTGTAATACTTACTCTGTATTATTTCTCGCAGCGGAGGTTCTATGGACCCAAGGAACGCTGGATGTTCTGGCTGGGCTTCGTGCGCCTGAGTGTGTGGCGTAACTTCATGCGCGCGAGGGAGGGCGGCTTCCAGGGGAACATGCTGGGGGAGGGGCGCATCCTGGGTGGAGTCTACGTCATTGGTGCCGGAGACCAGGTGAGCTCAGCCTGTGGAGTTTTGCGAATTATAGCGATGTGATCTATTTATTCAGAAGAGCCTAAATATATAGCCTAAATATATAAGACGCTTTGCTTTCAATAAACTACACTGAAGTTGGGAGTTTAAAAAAAATTCAGCGTCACCTTGAATGTATGTTAACAGCTTCAATAATCCACCAAACCCTTGCCTCTAAAGCGCTGCATTGAAGTCCTGCAGCCACTCCACTCGTGCTCAGGGGGAGTGACCCGAAGCCATGGTGTTTGTCTGTGATTGTCGGCGATGAGCAGCAACGGTCTCCACCTCCGTGTAGTCGGCGAGACTCGGCATTGCCGACATTTCCAAAAAGATTGACAACTCACGTGGTGTTGAGATAAGCCTGCAACAACCAGATTAGAGCGATCAGTATTTGCATTATCAAGCTCGTCTTTTCACGTCTGGATAAAGGCCTTCCCACACTGTCCTCACAACGCCGGGATGCTATAATCCATCTTCTGCACATGAAACTGATGTAATTACTCCACGTCCGCAGTGCTCATCCTATTGGCTAAGTTCTTTTATGTCGATGCCATTCCATCGCTAGTCTTGTCCACGAGGCATTAGAAATGTTTAAATAAAAAAAAGTTATATGTTCCAAGATACAAATGTATTTCAAGATTCTTTCTGCCACTGCATTTTTCCCCCTGCTCCTTCCCTTCCACCATTGCTCCCCCCTAGGGCGTCTTGCTGGATCATAAGGAGCGTCAGTTTGGAGACATCGTCAACCAGACGGCTGTGATGGATGCGGTGCGCAAAATCCAGCCCATCCTCAAAAAACTAAAATAACTACAAATATACGGGCGTTAACAGGCGCATCCTCCAAATGAACAGCTGAACTGATCTAGAACTCCATTTCACACTAATGCAATTTTCATACACTGGCAGCATTTCCGGTATTCAACACGCTATTTCTGGAGGCCATCCACTGGTTCAATAATATCTCAGCATGAATATAGACACGTTGTTGATAAACTGTCCACTACGTAAGGATACTGCAATTATAAATCTGCCAATAATGTAATTTGCACCCCTATACTGGGTCGCTTTGCAATACTGTACTCTCGTGCACCATACATGCTTTTTGTATAAGCAGAGTGGTCTAAAATATTTACCCAGATATTGTAATTAATATTAGTTAATTATCTAATGCCAAGTTAGTATTAACTGAACGTCAGGGATTTTTCCCGTGCAGGCAGAACGTGCACACACACACTCTGCAGACCTGAAATTCGCTATGGTACCAACAGCAGCTCCACAAGACCGTGTGCTCCTGTATCAATGACGCCTAACCGCAAAGGGGTAATTATCGCTGGGGTTTGGACTGACTTCAACAGGGGCCCACCCTTGGGGAGGGCAAGGTGGTATCATTGTGGGTTCTTTAGGTGTCCATGCACACCCAAGCCCAAGCCTGCTTGTGTTCGCTCTGTTCCCTTGTGTCTTGTGTGTTAATGACGAGCTTGTGCCCTAAATTTACAGGACCGGTTCTGAGTATTAGCAGAAGATGGGGGGGGGGGGGGGGAGGCAGAGGAGAGGTGCCTGAAATGTGAATAAATAAGCATTAACACTGCCTAGTGTGGCTGCCTGGTCATTACACGTGCACACATTAAACAATGCTAAACGGACAGTGTAGTTGCCAGAACTTTGAACACTTACTCCATGAGTCCTGTCCATTCTCAATATATAATCTGTTCCATCAGGGACTGACATCTTGGTGTGGACTTGGGCCATTTGCCTCTGCACAGCAGAGGTAATGCTACCTGCAGGTGCAGCCTAATCAGCATATCGGGTTTTTCTTATAGCTAGGGTTGCATACGGTGGTCCAACGAGATAGTGGCGATGGCTTACCACTGTATTGCTCTCGTGACAGTACAGGAGAGACATCACTCGAGCATTCAATTTATATATTTTCTTCTTCATGAAACGTCAGGTGTCAGAGCTCTGGGCATAGCCCATCTAAAACGGCTACTTTGTGTTGCGTTTAACTGGCTTCCAATAGAAGTGACACAGCACATTGCCATACAAGATACTGCACAGTTACAATTTGAGCAGAAATTTCATCCAATAATGGATCGAGCACTCAATACTTTAATTTATCTGAACCATCACAGTAACCTGTACAGACACCGTACCCTCTTGCGACACACTGCCAGACACGCACATGAATACATGTTGCATTGGTCTCCACTCACAATTATACACCAACTTACTCTTTGGTTTTTTCGGTAAAGTCACGTAGGTAAAAAAAGAAAGCAACGTAGCGAAAGCATTTGTGCTTTCCCGACATTGTCTCCACCTAACGAAGGATTGTGTTGCGCCCAAAACGTCGTGATTTAATTGATTAGTTTTTTTACCTACGTGACTTCACCGAAAAAACCAAAGAGTATGGATCCTTGCGGTCATGAAAGCTTCAAATCTAGAAATACACCAACTTGCGTACCAATCCTGCAGTGCTGTTTATTGGCGGTCCCACACGCGTGCATTCAGGACTCGTATAAAAGGCTTTGTGGGGGGTTTTAGGGTGGGTAAAATTTGCAAAAACACATTTCTCCCATGGGGAACGTATTGGGGAAGGGGAGGGTTTTATACAATAGTTAAATAAAAACCTCTTGCTTTTTCCTACCAAAATACTGAACTTTCAATCGAGCGACGGATCGACACGACAAGAGGCACTCACTCGCATGTTGACTACTCATGGCTCTCTCCAGCCTTTCACACGGAGACGTCCAGAAGTGTGCCGTTTGCTGCCAAGATACACCACCTCTCATTCACTCCCCCAGCCGACCAGCGCATGAGCAACAACAACCACTGTTTAGCACTAAGTGATGGTGACATCACTGCAGCGTTTGTGCCATGCTAGGTGCACTGAGGCCACGTGAAGTGCTGAAGGCCTGCTGGCAGGTCACGGAACAGATCCAGGTGCCGTGGGTTGATAGATCACTGGTCGATGCACCAAACGTGTTCCCCACTGTGCGTACTTTCTGCGTTTTCAGCCGCTGGCGCTCTGCTCATTGTGAGCATCACTCCTCTGCCCTACGTTATTGGTGGAGGGCCATTGCCTCAAACTCCCTAGCAGCGTCCTTCATGAACCTCCAGAGGCCCATCTGGACACTGCCGATTCCAGTCATCGGAAAATCCAATCAGCTCCACATCCTGAACCACACCAGTCCATCTCTTTTGTGCCAGGCAGTACATCTTTCGGAAAATGTATAGTACATTAGATACAGCGCCATATAGTATTGGCGTTTACGCGGGTAACCTGTACAGACAAAACGAACCCTCTTCCTCCCACCCCTATATCTACATGTGCATACACACATACGTACACAACCATATCGTCTCTCTCTCTCAAACATGCTCGCCTTTACACGGTGCCGTCTGGTGTTTAAAAACGGGACGTCGGGAACAAAACCCGACAAGAATATTCGATCCATCTACCTGCGGGGGCCCTCCCGGATCAGCGCCTCTCTGCCGCGTGCGTTTAAACAAGGCAAAACCCTGGAGTGGTTTTGACTTCATCTATAGTCTCATCAGCAGGGTGTGGCCTGTTAACAGTTCTCAGTGTGTACAGATGACAGAAAAACGCTCAAAATAATTACACGTTGCTTGCAAAGATTACGGGTAAAAATAACAATACCTACAATCCACCATTTACACGGCACGTCGTGGCAATTGTACAGCGTGGGGAGTGCAGAGCGGACAATCGAGTCGCTGGACTCAAAGCCTCGCCTGCCTTTACAATTAGCGTTCATGCATTACGCGAGTACGGACATATATCATTTACATGATATAGAGTCTCCGTTTAATCTACACTTCAGTTCGTAAAACAATTGTTAAAAATGTTAAAAGCCTTGCAGCGAAGGCCAGCATCTCTCTCCACCCAGCGGTTCAGGCGTAACCCTGGTTACCGCTGCGGCGGAAATCATTTGGTTTCCAAGACAATACAGATGACGCTTTGCGGAGGCTTGAAGTAATTTCATCTGTTGCCTGGTGAGAAAAACGAACATGACGGCGTCAGTAATGACAAATCACCGCGCGTTTCATTTTGTAAAGTTTACTTTTATTCGTCCTTGGTATTCGTGGCGTTATTCAGAATGAGCAACAAAATACCAGTCATTTTAAAATAAAAATTTACAGCATGCCTTCGTTATTTCTCAGTAGTAGCTCCAGTCATCGACATGTGGAATCTCCACAATTGGTTCAGGGGCACTAAAGGAGCCGAGGTACTGCTCTAGAGTTACTGCAGAAGTGCAAAATGATGACCGTTTAATTGTAAACGTACCCTAAAAGCAACACAACTTCATGCAAACATTTAATTGATTTTAGAACATCTTCACCAGACTTACCATGACGCTCCGTTCGGGACAGACAGACGACAGAAGGACAGAGTCAATGTAATAACGCTTTCGATCGAGCTCGGAAGGCGCTAATGAAACAAACGCGCGCGCACATCACACGGCGAACGTACCTCGTACTTTCCCGGCCGAGTTGATGATCTGCTGGAGGCAACGGCCAAACTCCTGCAGAACGCGGCGCTCGGCAACGGCGCGCGTCTCCCCGGCTCCCAGGACCTCGTCCACCACCGTCAGGAGGCAGTCGCACGTCGCCTCGGCCACTTCGCGCGTCACGAAGTTGAAGGGCAGCCTGAGGGGGCAGCGGGCAGAGCGGAGAGGGCACGGGGGCAGTGGAGGGGGTGGGGGTTAGGGAAGCCCCGGGGGAAGCAGGGAAAGTTCCCGCTTTGCCGATCCCACGTGGAGGATGGAACAAGTCGTTGGCAGGAGTTAGGGATGCGAGCCAGGTCTGTCTGGGTTGGCGACTCGGAAAATATGTCCACACCTGGCACACCACATCCGTAATACCTCATGCAATGGCCGCGGCTGCTAAATCACGTACCTCGTTTCTCGGCGAGCAGATAAAACCCTGGTCATAACTCAACACCGACTCTTTAGATGCCAAATTCGTCAAACTTACACTTGGGTCATATTTGATGAAGCAACTGTAAGTAGTGCGGTCCTCTTCTTAAGTGGAAATCCACTTAAATAATGAGTTGTAGGTCCTCTCCGTCGTGGTCGTAGACAGAGCTAAGGCATTAATACTCTCAATCTTGGTTGTAAAAAGCATTAAAACGGCCGCCCTCTTTTTCCCCCTTTCTCCCAAGATCCGTAATGTCACCCCCTTAATTCAACACAATATTACTCATAATTAAGGTTTTCTGGGCTAGATCGCGTAAATATAAATGCGTCCATGTGCTGAAGTAATAGCTAATAGGCACATTTTGCTCACGTGACAAACCTTACTAATCGGCTGTGTCGGGGTGGTTAAACAACACATTTATATTTACGCGATCCCCACCCCACCCCCCCCCCCCCCCCCCTTAGTTTTCCAACGCGTCGTAACGCAGTCGCCCTCGCTGCTCCCTCCTCTCCCGATGCTCCTCACCTCTCCCCGGTGCCATTGGCTGGCGGCCGTGTGGGCAGGTCCGAGATCTGGCTCGACAGCTTGGTCTTGGCGGCCGTCTGCTGCAGCACGCGAACCTCGGCCGCGTCTGCCAGGTGCATGAGCGTCTTGCGCTCCGGGCTCTCCTCAAAGTTCTTGCAGCCGACGCACTTGCACATCGAGGAGCACATGATCTTGGCCTGGTACCCGTTGCACACACGCAGGCAAAGGTCGGGGCGCCGTGGTGGCGAGATGTTAACTACTTCGCCTGGTACGCAGGAGGTCGTGGGTGCCACTAAAGTTGAGCTATCATTTGTGATGGCCAGGTCACTTCTAAAGAGCCATAGAGCTCAGCGGGCTTTACCTGGTAAAATAAATGTCCCTTTTGTAGAGTGCCATTCTATCCCTCTGACTTATGTGCGTTATGAAAGGGCATTGCGCGAAACATTGCTTGTAATAAACTTTTGATAGAATCTTGCAAAATGAAGTCTTAACATCAGCAACCAGCACCCTCGTCGAGATTAGACTTTAAATCCCCTTAAATACAACACAAGCTGGAAAAGGTGCAAAAATGCCTCTCGGTGTTGTGTGGACTTAGCGGAGGATAAGTTGAGGCTCAAGAGGCGTCTCTAGCAGGTGGGTGCAAGTTGCTGGTGGCGGAGGACCCCCCCCCCCCCGTGTTCCCGTCACCTCGTAGCACTCGCAGTAGTTCTTGAGGCAGCCCGAGCGCTTGCAGTGGCAGCCCTTGTTGTGCCGCCGCTCCGCCTCGCCCTCCTTGCCCTTTCCAATTTTGGGGCGGAACGCTTCCGGATTCCGGTCCAAGCACGACTGCAACCGAAACGGCGCATGTGCGTACGAGCACAGACACACGCGCATATACACATGCTCTTCAACACATGCTCACCCCCCCCCCCCCCCCCGAACCTTAGCTCGACAATAGAACAAAATCTGCAACAGCTGTCGCCATTTGACAATTAGTGGCGATGGTGTTACCACTGCGCTTGGACCAGGCTAGGTGCGCTGTGGAGTCATGTGAAGTGGAGAATACTTGCTGGAAGGTTACGGCACAGGCCCTGCTACAACAAGGCCGTAACAGCACATGTCTCCCAAGTACTAATATTTACACACGACAAGAAGAACCCATTTAAGCCGGAGTCGATGGCAGCTTCAGATATTATTTGCCACTGATGTGATCCATGGCCGGGACTCAATTCTAGGTAGGTGGGGATTTTAGCGCAAATTGCTAACCACTGCACAAGTGGGTGGCCAACATCACACCCGGCCAGCTTTGTTTCCCTAATGTCGATGTTTACACACCACACCAGGTACTCATTTAAGCCTGAGACCACCTGGATGAGGCCTAAGAGCGGTTGAGATATTTGCCACTGATGTTGCTCACGAGCGAGAATCAAACTTGGGTCGCAGGATTTCGTAGTTCACTGGTGCTAACCACTGTACCAACGCTCCCCACATATAATAAGACACGCACGCAGAGACGATCTTTAACACCTGGTGATGTGTTGCACTGCCGGAGGCAGGCTCACGATGAATCTAGGAAGCCACGCACACACTTGCAAATGAATGCGCACCAATCGCATGAACCAAGCACGCACCTTGATCGCTCGCTGCCTTTCCGACTCATGCACCAGGTTGTTTGAGCAGTTGCGACAGTTGCAGTTGTAGCAGAATTCGCCATTGGCAAAGCACTCGCAGTACCTGTAAGCAATAAAAACAATCGACTTGGAAATGGCCAATGTCAAGACTCGTGTTCCAACATTGACAGTGTTCAGTAGAACACTCGTACTCGCAGGATAACGTTAAGCTGGGAGAGGTGAAGGAGCAAAAATGTGCTACACATTACATTAAACTCGAGTACGCGCCGAGGTTGTGTGTCTGGGCTCTCCAGCACAAGTTTGAAGTTTCATTATTGACACAGGAAGAAGAAAACAAAGACTGGAGTGACTTTCAAAAGTGCCACGTTAGAGCTTGTCACATTGTAATAACAAAGTACAGGAGTTAAACTACAGTGACGTCATTAAAGCACGATGAAGGTGACCTTGAAAGTAGCTTAAATGTTTTTTTTTCTTTCATAAACAAAGTTTACAACTCATATTGGCCTATCTGCATGAACACAGTCTGGGCATGTATCTACAAAACAATAGGCATTTGTTATATCGGCTGCACTGTGCCTTTAACGAACAAAAATCGTGAGGGTGTTAAAAAAGCCTTCTCCAATTGCGTGTGTAGAGTCTTGTTCTTTCTCAGCTCAATACTCATTAATCGAACAAGAAGCAATGAGCCTCAAGCCAGACTAATTGCTGGAAGTTGATTGGTTGACTGGTACTCACAGCTTGAGGCACTGAGACTTGGTGCAGTTGCATGGTTTCCGGGGCCGGGAAGCCGAGTCCGTCGTCGTGATGCTGCACGCACACCAACACACGGCAACAAATCATGCAGGCAGGCGGGCGGGTGTGGGCAGGCGGTCAGACATTTAGACGGTCAAAGGGCGCTTTTGCTCTGTGAACACTGCTTAATTCACGTGTGGCAACGTGTGGTGGGAACAAGAGCCATCTTTGGTCGTGTGGTGCACCGCCATCAGTTTACAAATGAGCTGTAGAAAAAAATTCTGAATGCTCACATTCATAGCAATGAGCCTTCCACCAGACAACCAGAACTTTCTTGCGCTGCTCTTGTACAGCCAGCTGGCTGGCTGGTGAACTCGATGGCTTTAATAATGCTAGTTAGGCTGGTGAATTTAATGGCTTGTGGGGATGCATGCCCAGTATGTTGGCTCACTCATGGGTTTGCATGGGATTTATGTTTCGTAGGCTGGCGAGTTTGCCTGGTAGGTAGAGCTTAGCTGGATATGTTTCTAGGCTAGCTGGCTAACAGGACACCTGAGAAAGGCTGTGTAAGATTGGATGACCGGATAAGCTGTTTGCGCAGGCTCATGGTTGGAGGCAACGCCTGGGCAGAGTGGCGAGCTGCCCCGCTGGTGCACGTGTGCGAACGTACCCATTGACGGGGATGCGGGTTTGCGTGGAAGGAACGGTGGCAGCAGCCGCGAGGGGCGCCAACTTGCTGATGCTCACGGAGACACATGGCTGTGCCTGCTGCAGCTGGAGAAGCAGAGAGCGACGAAAAACACAATTTACACCACAGGGTCAATTGACCCAATTACACATTTACATCAACTCTAATTGTAGGTATTTTAACTCAGTGGTTCACATGGCAGGGGGGGGGTTAGATAAATAAGGCAGTCATTATTATAACATCAGTACGATATACCGCAGCTTTAATTAGTCATGGTGCGAGTTCATTCGGTGCGTGTACTTGCATAAGAGTGGGAGACGTTGCCTAATCATCGTGTATAACATAATCGACCATTTGACATCAACCCAAGTTGGTTACAATCTCCGAAATGAGCTCTCCTTCCAATCCGATTTCTCAACAACGGTTTTGTCACTCCTACTGCCAAGAGGTCTTGCGGCTGCACAAGTGTCCGAGCAGGAAGAAAACTTGATAGGCGGATTCAATCGAAGAGAGACATGGCAAAATTCCACCAGACACCCTCCTAGCAAGCCAGAACCTCGCAGAGTATCGAGCCAACGATGTGCAACGTCTCAGCAGTTGGCAGGCAGGCGACTTCGCATTGGTGATATATTGGAACTGGGTTACACACAAGATACCACCACGTCAGCCCTGCTAAATGCGGCCGCACGAGCGGCGCGTGCCGCTGGGCCGCCGTGCCCTCACTTGTGTGATGTACTGCGCGGGCATCATGGTGTAGCCAGCGGCGGGCGTGAGCAGCGTGCCGGGGGGCAGGCCGGGCAGGCTCGGCCGCAGCGACGACGCGGGCATGATGAGTCGGTGTGGGGTCTGTCCACGGTTCACCATGGAGCCCACCACGGGGCTCACCACAGACCCCCCGCCGCTCACCAGGTGAGGGCTCGGCGCTCCAAGCCTGGCTACCACCTGCGTGCAAAGTGGCATACGTGCATCGGTAGATGTCGGAGACGAGGCCTGGGGGACTTTGCGGCCCCGTAAGCCACATCTGATCGGTGACTTCATTACTTACAGACCGCGGTTGCACGAGGCCTACTCCGCTACTCTGTAAGGACCCATCAAACGACATTTATCCATTACTGCAAGCATCTTAGCCACACTACATACACAGTACAGTAAACCCTCGGTTTAACGGACCGCCATTTAAGGGATCTCGGATTTAACGGACAAAATTTTCTGATTCAAAGTTTTGTCCGAAGATCAGACAACGGACTTTTCCCCAAACAACGGACCAAGTTCGGTAATGGGAAATCAGTCAGGTCAATATTCGTTTCTGCCTCTTAATGGGTTCAGTATGTATTACACATGTTTTTTTGCCTAAAAATAGATCAAAATAGGAGAAATAAAAGTGGAAAATTTGTTGTACAATACATTTACAGTATTTAGAAATATTTTACAGTACAGTATCGGGTACATAATATCACGACTAAGGTCAACAGTGATTGCTTGACGCTGGGACAGTTTCAACAGTACGGGTTGGTATGGTGTTAAAAAACCTCCCATACTTGGTAAGTGTTGTATGGTACTGAACAATTGTTTATCTCGGTGTGAACTGTATGAATGTTTATCATTTTAGGATGGGTGTGCAGTACTGTACATTCAAGTTTAAATGTCCAATTTAACATGTAGGCTTTCGCAACCAATATTATTCATAATATAGGTTTTTTTGGGTCAGATCGCGTTATTTATAAATGTGTCGTAACCCTCCACCACCCGACACGGCCAAACAGTAAAAATGTGTCACGTTTATCAAAGGACAAAATAATTCACTTCTTTAGCCCACCGGTGTGTTGAAGAGAGAATCAACAGCATATTAAAATTTGATTAGTACGCTGTTTCGCTGATAATTACAATCAGCTTCATTGGGCAAGAATGGTGAAGCTCTCCTGTTGCTCCCGGTCTTAAATAGAGCAGCATCAGGGTGACGTCATCATTTAATTCAATTCAATCTGGTGCAGTGATTCGAGGCAAAGAGGGGGAGGGTATTGTAATTATATAGATTGGTAATCAATCAATTGTTATTCATTGGTATGTTTCCCTTATAAGGAATTGTATTTATTTAATAATACGCTTCCAGGCCGCACTAAGCCTGTAGCTGTCAGAGCGATTGAAGTTATTTCTGTTACTCTCAATTTCAATGGATTCTCTAATTAGTCTTGGCCAGTAATAATTAGTTTTACACAACACTTCAACGTTATCAAAATCAATTGAGTGTCCTTGTTGACAAGCATGCTCTTTCACTGCCGACAGTTGTGTTTGAGATAATTTAATGTTTCTTTGGTGTTCTTTTAATCTATATTGGACAGACGGGACGTAGCACCAGCGTAAGATTAAAAGAACACCAAAGAAACATTAAATTATCTCAAACACAACTGTCGGCAGTGGCAGAGCATGCTTGTCAACAAGGACACTCAATTGATTTTGATAACGTTGAAGTATTGTGTAAAACTAATTATTACTGGCCAAGACTAATTAGAGAATCCATTGAAATTGAGAGAAACAGAAATAACTTCAATCGCTCTGACAGCTACAGGCTTAGTGCGGCCTGGAAGCGTATTATTAAATAAATACAATTACAATTCCTTATAAGGGAAACAAATACCAATGCATAACAATTGAATGATTACCAATCTATATCATTACAATACCCTCCCCCTCTTTGCCTCGAATCACTGCACCAGATTGAATTGAATTAAATGATGACGTCACCCTGATGCTGCTCTATTTAAGACTGGAAGCAACAGGAGAGCTTCACCAATCTTGCCCGATGAAGCTGATTGTAATTATCAGCGAAACGTCGTACTCAGATTTTTAAATGCTGTTGATTCTCTCTTCAGCACACCGGTGGGCTAAAGAAGTGAATTATTTTGTCCTTTGAAAAACGTGACACTGTTTGGCCGTGTCGGGTGGTGGAGGGTTACGACACATTTATAAATAACGCGATCTGACCCAAAAAAAAACCTATATTATGTAAATGTCCAGTACGGTATTACAGTATTAGTACTGTAATGCATTAACTGTATTATTACACTATTATTAATGTATTCATTTATTTTTTATTATGAAGATATTTTATAATTATCATTACCGAACTATCAGTAAGTAGTTTGCGTGTGATTTAGCGCTCAAAATACGTCATGTGGCCTTTAACGGACAATTGGATTCTACGGACACCCCCTTCCCCCCTATTAGTCCGTTAAACCGAGGGTTCACTGCACACATGGGCACTTAAATACTTGCCATGCAGTCTGGATTCATATCATTTAACACAGGATCATGTTAATATGTTTAACCGTAATTACTATAAGGCAATCTTTTTACCACAACACTATGTTTATAATTATATCATACTCAAGTCACATGGCATGGTATGGGACAAGCATTCATTCAGCAGTGAATTCAAAAAGAGCTGTAACTTTTAAAACATAGGCACCTCTAAAGGTGAGCGATAATACATTTTGCATTATTATTATTATTCGATAACATGAAGGTTTTTTTTCTTATGAAGTGTGGCCTGCCAAAGGTATCCGACAATCCTATTTGAACCTCGGAGTAAAGTAAGGAATAGGTTCCCAACTCATAGCGAAGAGTTAGTTATTTATAACTGCTTGTTATGTTTAGTTTGTTGTCCTTCCCCCGCACTTCTTATTAGCACGGTTGGCTACATATGGTGCGAAAGTATTTCAACATACATAGAACAAAGCTTGCCTCAATGGGCTAAATTAAGTCTTTCATTGGTTGATTGACCGAGGGAGGTCATCACCTGTCTCTGAGCCGGAGCAATGGGAATGGGAGGCCGCAACTGAAGTGTGCTGCTTACCGGCTTCGCTGCACACACACACACAAGTAGACATACACACATTTACACACCAAACTTGTACATCCAGTGGCACATTTTTGAATACATAAAACCCACATCTACATACACGGTACACGTGGCCACTTAAAATACTCTGAATATACTTCGCCATGCAGTCTGGCTTTAAAAAAAATGAAAATTTGTTATCTGCATTTACTGTTGCATGGTATATTACCAGCAATAAACAGAGGGCTCGGAGCTACAGGGAGTACTTGTGCTTCATTACTAAGCCTACGATTACAATATCACACGGGGTTTGGCCATTCTTTTCTCTTAATAAACACAAGAGGAGTGCGGGAGAGGGGGGTGGGCGGGGAAGGGGGAAGTGTTTTACTTATGAGAGAGTGAAGAGCTGTGAATGCCGTATGAATTTGAATTAACACTCAATGGTATTCATTTGTTTATCTGTTTTGCGTTCAAACTCAATATTTGTAAAACATGTAAAATCGTATCACCGATTCGTAACTCATACATTCAATGGTAAACGAGTTTTTTTTTGGTGATTGCACTTTGGCACCTGGGTTGTAAATTAATACATTACAAATAAAGATAATTACGAAAATGATGGAAAATAAATCCTAAAAGATCACATTTCCCAACTATTCACCGTCTGCTTTTGCCATTTATATTTTAATGCTGGAAGTCTCCAGTCGCTGCTGCTGACAGTGCAACCTTGGCCGATAACAAATCAAATGGATGACACAAACTGATGACACCGAAATATGACCTTGTAGGATTGATTGCCATCGTGCTCATTATCATCTTTATTTAGTTCAACTCTACTAGTAGTTGCATTACGATTATGTTTTTATGTTATTTACGTTAACATAACAATACAACAAAACAGGTAAGAAACTGCGTGGGACAGATTTTACACTGGAGTCGACCAAATTCCATATCTCATCTCTCTGCTCATTGGAGATATGCTGTGATGAGAGGGAGCACCACAATTTATATAAATGTGGTCCGATTAGGCGGTTCAGCTACGAAAACATTCCTCTGAAAGTCTAAAATGTAAGATGGAACCTCGTATCCAATGGGAAGAAGGACCAACATATTCTCAAAAGTCATTGATAGAGGCATTAAAAGCACTTCTGAATTGCAAGTACTTGTGAAAGCAATGCCACGTGTCGCTTATTAAGACGGTGTGGTGCTGTGAGAGACGACACTGGCGTGCGGTGCTGCAGAGGGTGGTGCAATGTGGGTGGGGTGCCCGCGTGCTGTCACCTGGCAGGCCCTGCGTGGTGTGTGTGCTGACTGGCGTCACGAGACGCACGTAGTGGAATTTGCTGCCTGGCACCGATATGGGCTGCATGGTGGACATGGGCATCGAGAGAGGCTTCACGCCGCCCGGCTGTGTACTTGTCTTCACCTGTAAAACACACACGCACACGATTAACAATAATTACATTTATATCCCGATTTTCATCAAGGACCTCAAAGAGCTGTACAGGACACAGCAGCAACAGACACTCGGCATAAAAATATAAATACATTTTAAGAAACATTTACTAAATGAACTAAAAGTTTAATAAGCGGAAATGTATAAATAGGTTTAATGGCGCATTTTAAAAATGTCCACAGGCTCAGAGATCTTGATATCTTGTGGAAGAGCGTTCCATAGCCTGGGAGCTACATGGGAAAAATCTCGGTCACCCATAGACCGAAACCTCGACTGAAGAATGCAGAGAAGATCTGCGTCCCCAGATCTTAGGGACCTTGAGGGGACATGGGTGCAGCATGTCAATGTTGTAGGCTGGGGCAAGAGGGTTCATAATGAGTACAGGTATCTCTCCCCATTTCCGAACATTCGGTTCAACAAAAATTTGCGCTAACGCGATTGACAAATTATGGACACTTTTCGATGATCGAAATCGAATTCCCACATTAACGAAATTTCACTACGGCACGCGCCGTGAGATCAAACAAGCAGCAGTATGCGGGAGGCTGCGTATCCATCCGCGTCGACGTCACAGTATCCCTGCCGTGCAACAGTAGCGCCTCCACATCAACTTTTGCAAGCATTCCAACATGCAGATCTTTTGGAGAGTTCCCTGAAAACGGTCATTATTTTTCATTCAAATAAATTATTATTCAATCGTTTTACTCTTTGTTCCTTGTTATTATTTTTGCATTTTATGTATGATCAACTTATTTTGCACAAAACGTAGCCAACCGTATATTTTTAGTTTAGAAGTCGGAATTTTTTGTATTAAATTAATGGGAAAAGCCATTCCGGTGGATGAAATGTCGTTCTTTGCGTGTTTTTTTAAAGAATGCATTCCTTTCATAAATCGAGGGATTTAGTCGTCTGTCAATCCACTGCTGATGAAAGCTCCCCCCCCACGCTGTGTTTGCCATGGTGGGTGTTTAACCATAATTCACCAAGCTTGTCAGCAAGGGTTGGTGAAGAGGGTGGGGGGTTGGGAGGTCCAGAACGGATTCAGATACTCACCTATCGTGTTAACCTTGACTGTGGGAATCAAACTCAAATCACTGGGATTCATAGCATAGTTCATGAACCATTGCGTCACCTCACCGCCCCTATATTCATCACTGTATATTAATAACTATAAAAGAAACTCGCATTCAAAAATAACGCTAACTTAAAAGGAATATATATTTGGCAACGTTTTGGGAAATTGCTCTCTTTGATTGCCCAAAAAACACCGCCCGTTTCCCTTTAAGGCAGCGTGACTGACAAATGTATTGAGCGCTTTTGTTAATTGTGCTTGTGCACCACTGCCAATGTGGTAACACCACGTAATTTGTTCAGAAAAATTCAAACCGCGCTGCGCTGCATTGCGAGTTGTCACCAATAGAATACCTGGGTCAACAGCTTGCCGGGGGAGCCGGCCTGCTGCTGCTGCAGGATCTGCTGAGCGACTGCCAGTGGGAGCGGCATGGCGGTGACGACGCGTTTCTGGGGCGAGTTCACCGGCGCTGGCGACATGGGCATCACCGTCATCTGCAAAGACACCATGGTCATGTTTTAAACGAGCACGGAGCGCGCAGAAAAAGTCTGGTATCCACACATGCTCAAGCAATCGGAACAGTATAATATAGAATTCCTGTTCATGTGTGGACAATGTACCTTAGCCCATGAACAAATCACATGGAATGCACCCCATCTCCTCAAGATCTCAGAAGCTAAGCAAGACTGAAGCCTGTTGATGGTTTATAAGCTTCTGCAGAGATAGTATACGAGTAGGGGGCAATGTAGTAACATTAATTGTTGCAGTGTATGACTATGCCCTCTGCCTTCACCAACCTGCACTGACCAATGTGCTTACGGACAAACAACTCCCACGACTCGCATTGTGTCGGGAAGCCCTCATCCAGCAGTATAGATTAGCAATACGAGCTGTGCACGTATAACACACCTTAGAAGGAGACTTCAGTGGGGAGATGGCGATCTTGCCTCCAAGCTGGGGTCTCCCAGGAGAGCCCTCGGTCGTCACGTGGGACAGGGTGAAGGTCTTGGTGGGCGTTCCGGGGGCACTGCCTGAACCTATGCAAACCAGGCATGGGGTTAGAGATGAGCCTAAATTTTATTTTTTATTTTACCAGGTAAGGCCCACTGAGCTATTAACTATTTTTCAGAAGCGACCTGGCCACAAATAATAGTTCAACAAAGTGGCTTATCACGTGGACATTTATAAAAGCCAAATACTCTAAACGCATGTTTCTCAATGTGGAGGGAAAACCTGTTGAAAAATCCATGCGACCATGGGGAGAACATGCAAACTCCAACTATACCGCAGGCGTCAGGGTCAGGATTGAACCCATGACCTCCTGCATACCAAGATCTCGCCACCACGCCACCCCTACATGCACGGGTGTGCTCACCGCATCTGCATTGCAACTTAATATCGTCTTAAATAATCAACCCTCAGCTGTACAGGACTCTCAACTAAATATGTTGAAGATCACATCAGGTAGAAATAATCAGAAATGGGCATTAACCATCAGTTATGAGGATGATGCTGTACAGATATACATTTACAGTAATCCCTCGTTTAACGAGGTAGATGCGTTCCCTATAAGATCAGCGTTAAGCAATGAATTACTGTATATACATTACAGGGCAAAAATAAATATAATGCAAATTTGAACCACATTTGCCATATAAAATCAGCCTGCATTCATCCCATAGCGGGACAAAGAACTGAGTTGAGGGTATGCCGTCACATACTCGATAATTTTGGGCGTATACCCAGAATTCCTACAACGCTCAGCCACGCAGCTCAAGAAAGTAATTCCTCACCGACCGCTCAGAAGTCAGGTCATAATGGGCGTGTTCTGCATTGTGCAATAAGTGTTCCCAAATTCGAGCGAATACGTGTTGTGTGAACACATGTTAAGGGAGGATATACTGTGTATACGCGAGACATACATGTGACATGTGTGAATATATCTCCTCTAGCTGCATGGGCACTTAAGACTCGATATCAGGTTGTGAGTTCAACAGTCGGCCAGAATTCCACTCAGTCCATCATCCCTTCAGGCTTGGTAAATTGTATACCCTTTTCTGCGAAATCGGCTTTGTATAGATTGCCCACGCCGTGGGAATGTGGAATTGACACTACTGGCTTCAGGTCACCAAAAGAGATATGCATTGCTCCATTTCTCATTTAAGTATGGAGAGTAATTTTCCTTGATGACTGCAATTAATCATAATGGTGCACTGCACAACCCTTGTAACACGCACATGCATGCCGCAGATTAGCTAGGGGTGGGAGATTGCTGATGTAGAACGTGCAAAGAGTGCATGTGTGCGTATGTGTGCACATGCGCGTGTGTGGGGAGCGCAGTGGTTAGCGTACTGCGTTACAAACCCAGCAACCCAAATTAAATTCCCACTCATGGCCAACACCCTAACAATTATCTCAACCAGTTATGGGCCTATCCTCGGTCGCCTCAAATGAGCACCTGGTGTGGTGTGTAAACATCGCCACTCAGGAAACTAAGGTGGCTCGGCATGGTGCTTGGGTGCCGTGCCGGCCTTCACAGGTGCTCACTAAACAGCACCTGCCCCAAGAGTCTGTTAAGACTTAGGGGGGGATCTTTGTTTTTGTGTGCACACGCACGCATGTGTGTGTGTGGCTACCGCTGATCAGCGTCCCCCGGCCCGTGCTGGGCATGGGCTTGATGATGAACTTGGTGATGATAGGCCCACTGCCCCCCGAGTGAGACGGCCCAGCCATCTTGGTCACCTGCACGCAGCAAAACCCCAGGCCTCATTTGAACATATGCACACTGCGCCATTTGTAGTCCTTTTTTTACATAAAAAAATACTAGGTTGAATTAGCGCCAAAAAGCACATCTTTTTAGTTTTTTCTATGTCGCAGGTGCTTAGCACGGTTGGATATGTATGGCGCTAAAAAAAAATCAACATACACACAACTAACAATGCTCCTGATAGGTGAGTTACAATTTTTCAATGTGTCATATACACCTGGTTTTACATGAAAAGTTTAAATAAAATGTATTGCTCAAAATCTGTTAGTTTTCCTCGTGTAAAAAAAAGTATTGTGTTCTATATATACTGGTTTGTAAAGGCCAAATTGGTTTTGATGCCAATTCTAACTAATGTAATAGCATTAAATATTACATATTTAATTTGAAGGAGACAGTTCTTATTTATTTTGTTATTTTATAAATCTGCACAACGAAGACAATAACAATTATTTATAATTTCTTACCTGAAATGGTATAACGAGCCAAATAGAAATAAGAACGAAATCAGCATAACATTTTTTACACAATCAACTTAGGAATGCTCCCAGAAGTAACTTTCAACGTCGTCGCAGTTAAAGGAAAGCCAAGAATTTGACGTTTGAATTTACCGCTTTGTGTGCGTGGCAGGTCTGGACATGCTGAGTACCAAGAATGCAACAATGGTTTAAAATTCTTACGCTTACAACACAAGCATGAGAATAATGTATGTATGTATGAATCCATTATTTATAATTCCTTTACGTTCATAACACTATCTTAACACAACTGTAGATTCTATAGATTCACACCACTATAAATCCTACAGGCATCACAAGGCAAAACATATATAATAATTTACGTCAATTAAATCATGCTGGATTAAAGGTCTTTCCACGCCACGTAGGTCAAGGGAGTTGTTGGACCATATTTCACCATGCTGGTCAGTTCAGGTTGGTAAAGGGGAGGGGAGGTGTCAAGACCGGTTCAGATATCACCAAGCTGTGGCCTGGCCAGAAATCAAACTCCATATCCTTGAATTCACAGTGCAGTGCAGTACGCTAACCACTGCACCACTGCTCACATGCGAATCATTATATATCTACTGAACACGTCAGTTATTGTCAATATGCATTTGTCTACGAGCTGGCAGCCAGTACGTCTGTCCACACTATTCCATGCCAACGTATGCCACCCAATCAGCCGCGCACACCTACCTGCATCGAGCCGAGCTGCCCTGGCAGGCTGCTGCTGGAGGCCGGTGTCTGCGTCGTGCCCGTCTTGCCCACAGAATGCACCGCCAGCACCACCGACTGTCCCTCCCCAGCTTTGCCCTGTGCTGAGGTCATGCCGGGGGGCATGGCCAGCAGCATCTGCTGACCTTCTCCACCGCCGCTGCCCTTGCCCTGTGCACCCTGCACCGTGAGGAAGATGGGCTGTTCGGAACCTTTCCCCCCGCCGGTGGTCAAGCCGCGCACCTGTGTCCGACTCTGCACTTGCGCTACCGTGCGCCCGCCTTGCGTGCTGAACAGCACCGCCTGCTCCAGCTTCCCCTGCCCCGGCGAGCTCTGCACTGTCTGGCCATGGCCTTGCTGCAGCGTCAGCATCATGGGCGCTGGCTCTGACTTGGAGGCGGCCGAGCTTGGGGTGGACGTGCCTCCGCCCTGCGGCACCGACGTCTGCTGCACAGCCTCCGACCGCGGCTGCACCGTCAGCAGGATAGGCTGGTCGCTGCCAGGCAGCATCGCCAGCAGCACCTGCTGCCCTCCACCCAGAGCCATCCCACTCACCTGACTGCCTCCTTCTGACATACCCTTGTGATTGGCCGACAGCGCCACCGCCGTGATGGGCTGACCGCTGGGAGTCGTCATGGTGATGACGGGCTCTGTTGTCCTGGTTACGGGTCTCGTGGCAAACGACACCGTCGAGACGGGCCTGGTGGTCACGGCAGCGCTCGTGGTGGCCGTGCTTACAAGAGTGGCAACAGTGCGAGAGATCGCCACTCGTGCGGTCGCTTGTGCAGTGTCCAAGGAACGCGGCTGGCCAAGTGTCTGCGTCGCAACGGTCGGCGTGGGTTCAGCAGCTGCAGCAACAACGGTGGCGAGTGAGGCTCGAGAGGGAGCCTCGACAGTCGCCGGTTTCCCCGACAGCGCCGCGATCTGCCGCGTCATCACCTCGACCGGAGCCGTCGCTGCCTCCTCCGCAGGGCCGGTGAGTTCCACCGAGATGATGGCCACGTGGTCCTCAGGCTCCATCGTTAGCATCATCTCCTCGTGCTGCGGGACAGCCATGGGCTCTTCCTCGTCTTCCTCGTCATCACCCGCCAGTCGTACCTCCATAATCTCATCCGGGAGCAGCCCGTCCACCTCTGTGTCCATGGTGACGGCTGTTGGTCACTCCCTCCGCTTCGGGTCGAGGTCCTGCGTTGGGTGTCGCGATGATTAGAGAGGACGGTGCGGCCTCGGGGCGCTGTGAACGCAACCAACGACAGGCACGCCGGAAAACTGTTAAGGCTGCCTGTACCTTGTAGTGGGAAAGAGGGGCAAGCAGTTTGGAGGTGAGCACGCCAGACATAAAAACCATAGCCCTAATTAACTAGCCAATCAGCCTGCAGTTACCACTCGCTAGCCAACAGCCACTACCTGGCATAGCCATCTAGTCACATGTCAGTGTACTAGCCTATCAGCGACTAGTCACAGCCAACTAGCCAAGGGACCACTAATCATGAACCAAGCGGTTAACCAGCATCTCGAGTCACAGCCATCTAGCCAATAATAGCAACCTACTTATTGGCATTAACCGTAACCTTAAACCGATCTTTCACATTGTTGTCAGAGCTCGTTTTCGCTTTGCAGATTTGGTGTTCGCGGCACAGGTTCTGGCATGATCCCCTGACCTTGCCAAGCAGCTCTCCCCAGCTGAAGGCGCATACGATAGCGCGTAACGTGTATTTCTGGGCGAGTTCGATTAGGTGTACAATATAGGCCTCGTAGTAGGGCCAGGTACATGGGGCAGGGTTCGTGGTGTACAAGACACGTGCGAGTGGTTTTGCTACTTTTCAGATTAATGTGCCGAATTGTCAAATCGGGCCTGGACATTACATTTCTGATGACCCGGGAAAAAAATGTGTTCGTTTCGGATTGAAGAACAAAAAGAGATGTCGCGAAACTTTGGCAAAAATATGTGGGGAGAGGAAAAAATGAAATCTGAAACGCATACCACAACCGGGAAGATAGTTTGGCGTAAACGTATAGATGGGCTAGTTGAAGGGGCTAGGCGGGCAAATGGGGTCACAGCAGACACGAGTCCACGGGCCTTCATCCAGCAGTGGAGAGGCCGTGGTTGACCCTGCCGCTGCTGCCGCTGCTGCCGGTGAGTGTTGGCGGCAGTGGAGGAGCCTACTCGGCCCGACCCCTGCCGTCCTCCATGTTCAGGTAAAGGCGGGGAGAGACTCGCCACTTTCGCTTCTCGCAGTCGCCCCGGGGGCGCCTCCGACACGGACGGTCTCTGAGAGCCAAGCGTCGCGATCCGCCCCCAGGGCGTCTCGCACTTCCAAACAAACCCCCTGCGCCCGCCCGATTTTTTGACTCCGCGTTTTTTTTGGGTTTAACCCTCGCGCTCTGAACAAGAAGTGTAATAAACAAGAAGACGCGAGCTTGCAACACAGCGCGCGGTACCGCGGTTGCCGAGTAACGGCGGAGAGACGACCTCAATAAACTGGGAGCGCGAACGATACCGCGGCGGCCTGGCGCGCCGTCTTTACGAAGCGTCCGCTGCGAACAAGAAACCGAAGGGCGTGCTAGGTTCTAAAGTAGCAACGGGAGGCAGAGGCCGCGGGGACTGAGGGCGGCTTACCCAGCGCTCCGCTTCGCCGCCGCCGTCGCCGCAGCCGCCGCCGCCGCCGACTTCTGTTGAAAAATTCCCGCGCGGGCGGAGCGCCTCGCTCTCCCGCGCGGTGACGTCACGGCGCAGGCACGTGACCGCGCTGCGTGTGACGTCATCCTGCCCGGAGTTGTGTGGGACGGCCGAGCGCGTCTGGGCTCTGGCGCGATGACGTCATGCCATCGGTCTTCCCGCGCGGTGACGTCACGGCTCGTAACGTCATCCTGACGGGAGAGCGGGGCAAAACGCGGATGGGTTCTTGTGGCGCGATGGCGTCACGTCCTCGTTCGATGCGCGCTGTGACGTCACGGCGCGCTACGTCATTCTGCGGGGATGGGAGAGGGGGGGGCAAACCGCGTCTGGACACTTCTGGCACGATGACGTCACGCACCTTCTCTTCCGCGCGGTGAACCGTGACATGACGTCATCACGTCGCCTTATACGCCCTGGGATATAAAACCCGCCGCGCGTATGTGAACTGGGAAATGAGTGGAACATTTTAGGCGCTCTGAATACGGGCGACTCCCCGAAACGTCGCCAATTGTACATAATAAAAAAAAATCAAGCCAGTGTCATTGACAGATGTTTTGACTTTATTTTTGTTAATGGTGCTTGTGCACCGTGGCCAACGCAGATATAAGGTTCAACAAGTTGCTGAATTTTAAAGTAAAATATTAATAATTATTCCGATTAATTGGGGGTGATGATGGTGCAGCAAGGCTGGCGTCATCGGGTTTCTCCCATCGGGTTTTTCATGGTTTTAATTAAAAAAACGATAATCTCAGATGGCCAAAAATCTTGGTTTATTCGGTTTTATTGCCTTTTAATCCCTATAATTATAGCCCCCACCAAAGAGAAGACGTAAAAACACGTTCCGCTACAAGATGATGGTCAAAGGTCACAAGACGCCGATGGAGTCTTGGCTGTCCGATGGCAGTGAGTGGCCCGAGCTGCAAGCTGTCCAGCATTGCCACGTGCAGCGCCACATCCGAGAGGAACTTCCACCACGACCTTCATTCACTCCGAGCTGAGGAAGAGCCCGAGCGTGAAGTCAAGAGCAACATTGAGATGATCGAAGAGGACAGCGAATCCGATGACTCTGGCGCCGATTGACGACAACTTGACTTGGATTAAAACCATGTTTTTTTTCGACAAAATCATTTTTTTTAATAAAACCAATAAGCCAATAAAATGTGGAAAAAAATAGTTTTTTTCCACCCTTGTGGTGCAGTGGCTGCAAAGAGGCCCAGATTGAAATGGTTGAATTTTGACTGACGTGTGGTCAGCATATCGTGATCGGCAGCCACGTTAGAGCCACTGCCAGACGACGACAATAGAGCAATTTGCGGGGGGCAAATTCTTTCAGCTTGGGAACGTTTTGGCCGTCTCCATCCCCACGGTTTTTGGCTGATGCAAACGAATCCAAGGTTGTTGCTAACTCACACGAACTGATGCGATCGCTCCATCCTCCGCGGCTGTCATGTTGGCGGTGACCTGGCCATAGCGCGCAATTCGCCGGTTCAAATCCAGCGGGCGCCCTGGTTATTACCGTGGATGCATTAATAACCACAATGATCCATAATACCGTCGAGGTTTTTGGGTTAGATCGCGCGAATATAAATGTGTCGTTAAACCCGCCGCCACCCGACACAGCCAATCGGTAAGGTTTGTCACGAAAAAAAAAAGAGCCAATTCGCTACGAGTTCAGCGCACCGGTGTGTTGGAGAGTAAACCCACAACATTTAGAATTCGAGTACGACGTTTAGCCGGTAATTAGATGTAGGCGAAAGCCGACGGGTTAAACTAACCACAATGATACTACGTCATTCGCTAGAGGCCATTATGTGCTGGCGTCAGGGTCCAAATTTGACAAAGTTGATCATTACACCTGTCAACTACTTATCAGTGCCTACCTTATTACAGACCAATGCAGACTTCAGGTGTCACCCCTTGCCTCTTATAAATCTCAACGTTCATCCTATACACGACTATACACTACGCTATACACTATTATACACTGTGCTATACACTATACACTACACTATACACGACACTACTACATACTACTACATACCTTTCGATTTAAAGCTTTCGTGACTGCAGGGATTCATCTTCTTGGTTCTTTCGGTAAATATGCTAAATTCCTCTGTTGATATGCAAATTCCTTTGTCAAGGCGCCCTCCTCCTCTAACCCAGCTTAAATATACGCTGCCAAGCTTGGTGGTGTTCATTCAGACGCTGTCTTTCCGACAGCCCTGTTCTTCACCTGAGGACGTCTGCTTGCGTTGTGGCCTGAAACGTCGTCAGAATTGTATTTTATTATGTTTTATTTGTATTCTTTTATTATTTCCCTTCTACTACATAGCTGTCAACCCCTTATCAGTGCCTACCTTATTACAGACCAATTTAGACATTGGTCGCCCCTGCCATTATAAACCTCAACGTCCATTCTACAAAGTCCCATCACAAGGGAGAAAAAAACAAATACAGGCAGTCCTCGACTTACGACGGAGATGCGTTATGACGACCCCATCGTAAGTTGAAAATATCGTAAGTCGAAGATGGCCTCGCCTACCCAGGAGTCTTAAAGAATTGTGATAATTTAGCAAAACAGAGCAATTTACAGTACCGTACTGTATAAACTATATACTGTATGTATTTATTAAATACAATACTGTATTGCACAGTAAAATGTAAAGTAAAAAAACAAGGTAAATCATTAGCCTACCTATATGAATTGCAATTTCATAGCAAGTTTTTTCAGGAAACAATCCTGTCTGCTTAAAACACTTTTAACGTGCATTGAACGTATTGTATCGTGGTAACCTTAAAATGAAATCGCTAAAGCTACGTATCATACAGGGCATTGAACGTATCGTAATGTATCACATTGTACTGTACTCACCAAGATTCTGTCCGTCGTCTACACACTTGAACGATGTTAGGTTGTTGATGGCAATTTTGTCGTATCGCTATAAGCATCGTAAGAGCGAAATATCATAAGTCGGACCATCGTAACTCGGGGACTATCTGTATTTGCCCGTATTGAAACGGCTGTACGCCGTATGGACCTAAAAACTAAATTTCCATGTACAAGAATATGGGGTCAACCGTGTGGGTTGATAGGTATGATAACAATACACCGCAAATTGGACATTTTGGACAACAACATAGTCTTGTTGTTCGGAAAAATGGAAGGAACTGGAAAGAGGAAGACCTAATAGAGAATGGCTTCATGACGACTTAAAGAGATTGGTGCCAGAGAGATGTGGCTACTACTTGAGCATGTTGGCACTCCAAAACAGAGAGGAGAGTGGAAACAACAAATGACGAAATGTGAAGATGATACCACAAATCGGGCTTACAAATAGCAGCAAACATCGCCCCCTATTGGCAGTCCACTGCCCCAGGTAACTTGCACTTTTTAACACTTAAGGCGCGTGCGGCGTGCGCTTCCCACCTTTGGCTGCTGCTCCATCCTTAGTCTCAACCAGTCATCATCCCTTCTAGCCATGGCGTGTACTGCCCAAGCCCACTTCTCTTAAGTCCATTTTGATGTCGAATTATCGCGAATCCGTGTGCTCTTTTCGGTGTAATGCATGAGAATCGATGACAGTAATAATACCCCGATGTACGCCCTCCCGTTTTACGTACTTCTGCTATGACGTACTCAACTTATTGATACCCAATCCCGTTTTACGTACTTCTGCTATGACGTACTCAACTTATTGATACCCAATCCCGTTTTACGTACCGTGGTACCTCGGCTTCACGTACTCGAGACGTACGAGCTTCACCATGAAGACCACAATGTTTACGTTGCACGGCGACATTCAAACGCCAGGTGGCCCCGAAACGTTAGCATTCCTGACTGTACTGTATGTTGCACTTCTTTCGCACCGTACGAAGCCAACCGTGCTAATTGGAGGTGCGGGGGTAGGAGAAATTAAACAAAAGCAGTTCTAAATAAATTAGTTTTCAATCTAGATTTCAAAGTGCATAGCTCCAGTGGATTCCTTATGTCGGAACGAAGAGCGTTCCAGACGGACGCAGAGGCGCATCTGAAAGTGCGTGAAGCAGTGACCGTCTTTGTTCAATGGCCAGCCATGAAAGAGACTACGGTAATCTCATGTGTACACATACTCTATGAATATATTTTTCCCCACATGCCATATTTATGGCAACTATATTTTTTATGCAGGTGTAAACTATTTTTTAAGTAACTAATAATAATACATGTAATATAATAGACAATAAGATACACTTACTTTTCACACTGATGGTTGTACAGTATAGATGCCCAATGGGTTATTGATCAGCTTCTGTTTTGGAAGTGTATCACGTTACGATCCACCCTTCCATCTCTGTGCTTCGATTTTACGTCCTGGTTTTCGAGGAACGCATCCTGGGTGTAAACCGGGGTGTGCCTGCATTTTTGAATAATGCAATGTCTGCAATTGTTTTATTTTGGCGAGTTGTTGGAATAATTTACAGCACTGGAGACACAAATGACTACAAAGGGGAGATATAAAAAAACATTGAATTGCATCATGAATTAAAATGTATAATCCTTGGAATCTGCGGGGGAATAGGTGAATATAATTGCCTAACTAATGTGGTCATCCATATCTTTCTCAGAAAACAAGTACCCCAGTAAACATCAAATGGTGGGTCAATGTTGCACGTTTAATGGAATGTAGCGATCGATAATGCACCCTTTACCTGACACAGCTTTTTATAAAAATCTCCTTTGAGTTCGCTAACATCTGGAAAAATATGGCAACATATGCTTGATTTAGATGATAGTTTATTATGAATTTCCACTTATGAAATAGCTTGACAAAAAAAATCATAAATCCTTTGAGTTCGCTAACATCTGGAAAATATGGCAACATATGCTTGACTTAGATGACATTTTATTATGAATTTCCACGTATGAAATAGCTTGACAAAAAAAATCATAAATACATTCACAGTACAGATGAAACGCGGCGTTTTGTTGACAGTGAAACGATGACAACCCCATAGCGTCTGACGATGGCACAAAGAACGGGAGCTTACACAGCACCGCGCAGTACAGTATATTCTAATTGTAAATCTCATTCTCACCCAGGGGAATGTACAGAGATTATAAAACTTGCACCGCCAGCAGAAACAAAGTATTACATCAAAGAGGACCATACAGCGGACACTACACAGCGACAACATTCCACAAACTGGGACAGCTCGTTACGGAATGTTTTACTGAACAAATGTACGAGATTATACAACGACAAACTGTGCGTTTGTTCGGATGGTGGCGTAACAATCTCAATGGCATAGATGGTATCCAAATGGCATGGTGTTCTTGGCAAGTCCTGGGCAAATGGCAACATTGGCATCGGTCTTCATTGGCAAAGAGAGTATGGATGGCACTTTGACAGAAATGCTCTGTCACGAATTTCCATGGGGGCCATTTCATGTTGTCACATTGGCCTGGGAGACGTGGAACGCGGTGCCGTCTCTGGGGGTGTGCGCGCCCATCGTGTTGAGGGCTGCGAGATATTCGGCGAGTTTGTGACTAATTGGACGTTTACGTAAGCCGTTGTGGAATGTGATTCAGAAAAAAAACCTCTTAAATAATTGTGCTCTTTTGTGAACTCCACTTTAACAAATGGGGCACTTTTGAGTTTAGTTTATTTACATAAAAATATAACTTGGATTTTATAGCATTTAAATGTGACTGCATATGAACCCGCTGTACAAAAACACTGCATATTTATTTTATGGACAATGGCAGTCAGTCATAGGCAGAGTGTTGACAGCATGCATTTCTGGGGGAAGGAAGTTACAGACAATAGAGGCAGGAGGAGGAGAATGAATGACTTCGCACCGAGCAAAGGTTGAAGGTTGGAAAAAAAACCCATCAGACCAGGTCACATTGCCCTCGATCTGATGCTGCGCATGGCGGTAATGCGAGCGTGTGCGCAACGTTTGTGTGAGTTGGACACGATCCTGAGGTCAGAAGTCATGATCCCAGCCCGATGTTTCATCTGGGGGTACGTCCAGATCTTCTGGAAACCAGTCAAAGTTCTTGAAGTCTGTGGGCCCTGACACCTGCATACAGCACCAGGCAGACGACCCCACATTTATGTCTAAATGCGACCGCACCACGAGATGCTGCACAAAAACAGTGGACTTCCTAGCGTGAGCGTCAGCCGAGTTGCCCACATCAACTGACTAAATGCAAGAACCTGCCTCTCTCTTTAGCGGGGAGGCCAGCTGATTAGCTCGGAGGCCTTCCCAGTCAAACCCCTGGAACCACCTGCAGAGAAAGGCACAGCAGCAAACCAGCTCAGAAATTGAATGGTACAGTGTAAATAATTTTTTTACACCACAGGGTTAGGAGTTGTCTCAACATGTGATAATAAAGTAATATATTTGTCCAACAAAGTCTCACATGTCATATATGACGAGCCAACAAATTATGCACATTCTACTCAGAAATCACTGTAAACATGTAGAGAAATGTGACATCTAAGGCGGAGAGAGTATGGATGGCACCTTGACAGAAATACTCCATGAGGGCCATTTCATGTTGCCAGATTGGCGATGGGAGGCCTGGGAGACATAGCACATGATGTTGTCTGGGGGTGTGTGTGTGCCCATCAGGTTGAGGGCTGCGAGATCGTTGGAGGTTGTGACTAATTTATGTCAGCTTCTTGTATATTGAGAGTTCGGAAAACAAACGAGTTTGCGGTCGTCGGATGGACAAAGCGTTGTGGGGAGCATGGCACTGCGATGTGGGGGCGATGGATCACGTTGCAGGGACTCACTTGTGCTTCCTCACGTCCCCTACGCCGTGCTTTTGGTTTCCCAGTCTCTCCGACGGGTTCTGTCTGGGAAGCCAACAGTAAAAGGTACGCAACACAATATAATCGTTAGCATCGTCGTGGAGAATACAAGTAACGAGATAAATTATCAGACACAATAGCTCCTTTATTTATCTGTCCCTCCAAATAAGTTAAATATTTTTTTTACATTTTCCATCCACTACAAGGCCTTCTGGGAGTGCATAATAAAATGTATGTTGAAACCGGTCAAGACTTTTCTTGCATTGAACCAATGCTACTGAAATGATGTACTCCAAAATGGTGGTTGACGGGAGGTGTAAAATATACTTTTATTTTTTATGTGCAGCGATGGATATGTAAAGGAGACAAAGCGTCCGATTATCTTTCTTCTTTTTGCAAAGGTACAGATCAGGGTGTTCAGCACCAATTTCTCTTCTCTTTGCTTCTCTGTCCCCCTTCCCTTCCCCTGTAGTCACTAAACTCTCATATCTTCTGCCTGATTATATCGCATTGTACGTGTTTTTTTTTACATGGAATTTAAATGGCGATAATTGAAATTGAAATAAAAAAAATATTTCACAAATTTCTTTGTACATCACAAGGATGCAGAAATAATAAACGAAGATGATGATGATGACGATGCGTGGCGGTGTTGTTTTGGTGTGTGTTGTTATTATATGTACAAGCCCTTCAATTTTCAAAGCTCTTTAAAAAAACGACCAATATGAAACCGATAACAAACAAGCAGACATACAACGCCGTGTTGGATGGGTGAGCGTGGATGTGTCAACAAGAACGAGTGAGTGTGGACGGGTGAGCATGGATGGGTAGTTACGCATCGGTGAGCGTGGACGGGTGAGAGTGGATGTATGGGTGGGTGCGCATGGCTGAGCGTGGATGGGTGAGCGTGGATGAGTGAGCGTGGACGGGTGAGCGTGGATGAGTGAGCGGAGTGGACGACAGAGCAAAAGAGCCTCCTCCACCTGCACAGCCTGCGGATGATGTCCTCGGCCCTCTTCCCCACCTCATTGGGGAAGTGCACCCTCTCCATGCCCCACAGGATGGCGTTGTACGTCTTCATGGGGTCCGTGCCTGAGAACGGGGGACTGGGCGAGGGCGACGGTGGACGACACGGAGAGGGGGACTCGTGAAGCGAGGGGATCGAGTTTGTGTGCAGGGTGGATGACAGACGGGGGTGGGCGCACGCTTAAGAATCTCCGGGACTGTAACGTGGTGGCCCAGCGGTAGGTCGTTGGCAGCTTGTTGCAGAGGTTCGCTGGTCGAATCCGCAGGCTGCCCTGGTTTTAACCGTATAAAATGTGCTGTCCGTTTCAACAGTGGACATTAAATAAGAAGCGTAGGCCACGCTGTGCCGGCATCATGGTCAGAATTTGCCAAGTTTGGAAAATTCACTCCCAAAGATGGTAAATTCATTGGGAAACACAGCAATCATCGCCCCCTACTGAAAACAAATGAGGACCCTCCTGAAAAAATATTTGAGGCTCAGTGAGACTTGCCTGGGTACACAAGTGTAATGATAATAATATGAGCTGCTAGGTGATTTGTGAGCCAAGTTTTGCAGGTGCCTTTTAGTGGGGGGACGTGAGTGAGCGAGCGTGGGGATAACGCTGATACGTGTAACCCACACAGTGGAATCTAAACTAAACTGTATCAAACTAAACTGTTGTTATTTTACCAGGTAAGGCCCACTGAGCTATTAGCTATTTTCAGAAGCGACCTGACCACAAATGATAGCCCAATGAATGTGCAAATTGATAGCACTCTAAACGGATGTTTCTAAATGTCGGAAAAAACAGAGGACCCGATGAAAAATCCATCAGGGTCAGGATCGAACCCATGACCTCCTGTATACCAGGCGAGGTAGTTAATATCTCGCCACTCCAGCGCCCATCAAAGGTTTAGCGTTCAATGTCAAATCTGAACTAATCGGTGTTCAAACAATTATTGAGTTATGACACTATAAAGGCAGATCGAGCGCATTGAGATCCATGGTGGAACAGCATCAACTGTGAAAGCTTGTAAGGCAAACATTGGAAGGAGGCGTATTGTTTGCCTATTTATTTTTATACTTAAATCCTCCACAAATGACAAGAATGATGATCGTAAGGTACAGTTGTGTTTTTTTAAGAATCACCGCTAGAGCTTTTGGGTAATCGCCCAGTCGACATTGAACTTTGGGCCAACGTTGGTCCAAGATTCCCACAACCTCATGCCAACGTCGGTCAAACGGTGCGTGGGTTTACTGGACGGTGCGTGGCGTTGTGCCGGCGCGTTGGTGGCTGGGCGGGCGAGTGCCCCGTGAGCGAGTGCGATCGAGCGAGCGAGCGATCGAGTGAGCGAGCGAGCGACCACCGTCACGTGTGACCCACACGCCGGCGAGCAGCTCGTAGACGAGTACCCCCAGCGCCCAGCAGTCGGCGCCGCGGTCGTGTCCCCGGTTCACGATCATCTCTGGGCACACGTACTCGGGCGTGCCACAGAACGTCCACGCCTTGCGCCCGCAAGCCAGCTTCTTGGCAAAGCCGAAGTCTGCCTGCAGGGACGCCAAAGCAATCCGAAAGTCACATTCGGCCCAGAGCAAGGAAAAAGGTTACCCACTCCTGGCTCACAGCGGGAAGAAAGGCTCATTTTAAGCGCACATTTGCGCAACCACTTGTAATCAAAGCTGCCCGGGTTGGGCCCGGCGTTCAGCATTTATTCTCTCAAGCTTTTGTCACGCACTACTGCGGGCATCTTTGGGAGTTGATTAAAGAGAAGAAATGTTCGGCGGCATGTGCGTGCCAACGCCGGCGTCAGCTCGGGTGGCCGGCGCGTGGCGGCCGTGTTCACCATCTTGACGTAGCCTCGCGCGTCGAGGAGCAGGTTCTCGGGCTTGAGGTCGCGGTAGAGGATCCCGCGCGCGTGCAGATACGCCAGCGCCTCCACCACACACGCCACGCAGAACCGCGCACTCACCTCCTGGAACCCGCCGCTGCACAACACGCACAGAGACAACGTCCCCCTGCCGTGGAGCCAACACAGGCCGTCGGGAAGCAAGTGCGGTTAGTGGTATGCGGCACGCGAGGGTGGGGTGATGCCAGTGCCACGGCCGACCGCCTTTGTCTTCCCCGGTGCTGATGTTGTCACACTGCACCAGGTACTGATTTAAGGCCGAGTCGATCTAGGGGAGACCCATGACTGGCCATGTCGAATGGTGGAGGGTTATGACACATTTATAAATAACGCGATCTAACCCAAAAACGTTGATTATGAATAATATTGGTCGCGAAAGCCTGCGTGTTAAACTTCGTCGCTGGTGTTGACCGTGAGCGGAAATCGAACGCGGGTCGCCGGGTTCATGGCGCGACGCGCTGACCGCTACACCACGTGTGTGCGTGCTCACCTGTCCCGCAGTACGCTCCACAGCTCACCGCCGAGACACGCCTCCATGAGCAGGAACACGAACTTCTGGTCGCGGAACGTGCGGTAGAACCTGGCGGGGCGCACAGGGATCAGCCGGCCGCACCCCAGGCCGCACGATGCAATGTGACGCTACGCTACGCGACGGTCTCCATCTACGCGGGTGGCCAGGATCGTCGCCTCTGGGCCCTCTCTCGTATTCTTAGGTTTTTTTCGGTAAAGTCACGTAGGTAAAAAATTCATATAAATTAAATAAAAATCACGACGTTTCGGAGGCAACACAAGCTTCCGTCTTCAGGTGGAACTGTCACAACACGAAAGCTTGTGCTGCCTCCGAAACGTCGTGATTTTAATTTTATTTTAATTTTACTTTTATTAATTTAAATGTTTTACCTACGTGACTTTACCGAAAAAACCTAAGAATATGAATGCTTGCAGTCACGAAAGCTTCAAATCTACAATTAATACCCTCTCTCGTACTTAGTCAACGAAGCTAATGATTATTTAATATTATGTTTGCAAGAGTTTTCAGTCGAACTCGGACCCGTATCCAACAAAGGGGTTGCTTGCCTCTCAACATCTGGCAGTTCACCAGCATTGGTCTGAGCGAGCCGGACTTTACCATGCAGAGACCGAATATCGAAACTCGTCCAGAGTTTGCTCGCATTAAATCAAAAGACCCAACGCAGAAGATCCCTGTGTTTAATCTTCCACGAAAGCTCATGGTCCACCCTAAATTGCACCTGCACAAATCATGGCAGATGCAGATACCTGATGCGCAAAGTGAAAATGTAAAACTCTCCACTAGTCTGTGACTGTGGTCATTCCGCACACGACGTACAACGTATAACGACGCAATGCCCGATCCACAAATACGTAGTTGGCATCGCAGCGAAACACCACACTGCTCCTGACGCAGTTATCTGGCTTGACCACCTGAATGTGAAAATGATGTTGTTGCTCTGCATCTACATCAGTCGTACGAAAGAAGAAGAATGATGTTGAAATTATTCACTCAAACAATACCACCGCCCACGCCTCCCCCCGGGCGCTTACCGCACGATGAAGGGGGAGCTGCACTCCTGCAGGATGCGCTTCTCCGAGTACACGTGCTCCTGCTGCTTCGACTCCACCACAAACTTCTTCTTCAGACACTTGAGCGCGAACGTCACGTCGCTCTCCTTCAGCTTCACCTGCGTCACTCGGCAACAACCGCCGACGGTGACAAATTAACAGCGACAGTTACGGAGATGACGGCGCAGCGCAAACCATCTACACGGAGGATTAATTTCAGCCGCGTTTGTCTGGGTCGGCTACCCGGGGCGCACCGCATCCGGCGCACCTCTACGGTGTGACTATCGGCCGCACGCCGCACTACTCTGGTCCACTGGGTGACCCGCGGAAAATATTGAGTGAGATTATTAAGCCCTGGCCGCACGCGCACACACACACGTGCGTGTGTGTATGCGCCGTAAAGCCGGGAGACGATTGGACCGGCCGAACGCGGCGCTCACCAGCTGCACGCGGCCGAACCCGCCGACGCCGAGGGTGGCGATGACGTCCATGTGGGTGCGGGGGTCAGAGGTCGGCAGGGCGGAGAGCAGCTCCATGAGCCGCGTCGTCTCCTCGTCCAGAGTGGCCGGGCTCAGCTGGGACTGGGGTCGCCTAGCAACGACGGCGACGCGCGTCAGGGACAGCGTTAGCATTGAGAGCACGGGTGAGCATTGGGATGAGAGGTCAAGGGGTCAGGGCTATTGTTATTAATAGAGTGAAGGGGAGGATAAAGGTTAGGGCTTCTCGCGGTAAGGGGTTAAGGTTTAGGGACAGAAATAGCGTTTAGGGATAATTGTTCATTTAGATTGGGGAATAGACCCCGAGTTACGGGTTTGGGATAGAGTTAGGGTCAGGTTTCCAGCTACGGTGCCCTTAGATTAGAATGGCTGGCAGCGGAGAGAGAGAGTTAGGGTCAGTGTTAGGGTCAGGGTTAGGATCAAAGCTAGGGCTAGGAATATCATTGGTGTATATTGCTTGGCAGAGAGGATAATGCTCGGGTTAGAGTGAGGGTCAATCTGAGGATCTAACATATGGTCAGGGTTAGTTTTATGGTCAGGAGTGGGCATTTTTATCGGTGTGGAGTGTCTGCTGGACTGGAAAAGGAGAAGTTTTGAGTCAGGGTTAGGGTTAAGATCAGGATTAGGGCCAGGATAAAAATGAGGGTTAGGGTCATAGTGAGGGTTAGGGTTGAGATCAAGGTCAAAGTCAAGGTCACAGTCAAAGTCAGCTTAGGTTCAGAGTACGAGTCAGGGTTAGGATCAGGATTAGGGTAAAGGTCAGGGTTCGGGTAAAGGTTGGAGCGAGGTTAGGTTCAGGGTTCGGGTAAAGGTTGGAGCGAGGTTAGGGTCAGGGTAAAGGTTAGAGCGAGGTTAGGGTCAGGGTTAGGGTAAAGGTTGGAGCGAGGTTAGGGTCAGGGTTAGGGTGAAGGTTGGAGCGAGGTTAGGGTCAGGGTTAGGGTAAAGGTTGGAGCGAGGTTAGGGTCAGGGTTAGGGTAAAGGTTGAAGCGAGGTTAGGGTCAGGGTTAGGGTAAAGGTTGGAGCGAGGTTAGGGTCAGGGTTAGGGTGAAGGTTGGAGCGAGGTTAGGGTCAGGGTCCGGTGGACAGGGGCTCACTGGGCACTCCGCTGCTGGTCTCTCTGCGCCAGCAGGGCCACGTACTCCTGCAGCTCCTCCATCGTCCCCACCGTCTGCACAAACGTCCTGCGGGGGGGGGGGGGGGGACAACACCGCGGGTGGCTGCAGCAGGAATCGAATTCTGGACTTCATGCAAATTGGGGGAGGGGGGGGGGGGCGAGCGCGATTCCCGCTCAGCCACGTGGCCTCCCACGACCGGTGACACGCGAAGGCTTTATTTATTTATTTACAAAATGCATCGTGAGTCGTTACGGTCGGTGCGGGAGTAGGTATGTGGTCCGGGGGGGGGGGGGCTGGAAAGAGTTCCGAGTCGCTGGGGGGGCGGGGGGGCGGGGGGGGTGGGGGAGCACTTACTGGTGGTCGATGACGAGGCATTCGACCGCGTCATCCGCCGCGATGATGTTCGCCGAGCGGACGTCTTCGCTGTTAAACGCAACAGCAGCAGCAGGAGCAGCAGCAGGAGCAGCAGCAGCAGGAGCAGCAGCAGGAGCAGCAGGAGCGACGTTCACGTTCACAACACAAACCAAAAAGAAGACACGTTCGTGTGTGTATTTTTATCATCGCGATGAGCCAATGCTGTACAAGGAAATGATGACGACCAGGGCTTAAGTGAGGAGTAGTCAGCACGCGACCACAGTGGCCACAGCCATAGTGAGAGGGCGACTGGGTAGCCGCAGGCACTGATGTTTGATTTAATCTGGACGGACCCGATGAGCCATGAAGATCTTTGTCCAGCCCCAAGCTGGGGTTGACAATGGCGGAAACATCACAGAGGAAGTTGAATAGGTAGGTTAGATTAAGCAATTTTGCGTAAAGTCGAACAGAACCACAGAAGAAAGCAAGACAAAACAGCAATAATGCAAAATAATCAGACAGGGAAAGGATAAAATGACACTTTCAAATTTACAGGTGTCAACTCACAGTGGCAATGTGGCTGTAGTTATGTTTGTATGTATTATGTGTGTATGTATGTGTATGAATGTTGAACTTGCAATGTACGTAGCCAACCGTGCTAATCGGAGGCGTGGGGGAAGGACAACAAACTAAACACGAAAAGCAGTTCAGTTGACATCAACTACGACATTTCTTGCTCGTCAATGCACCAAATTGAGAGAGCAAGACACAAAGGGGATTATTGAATGTTGTGTGGCCGGGTCTGCGCTCCATCCCAGACAGACCTCGTTGAAATGAATCCTTGATCGTAACAGCGATAGCCACAGTAATTGTAAACATTCTCACCTCCGGTATAATAATGCGCCGTTGTGTAAAACAGTCAGGGCAAAGGAAACCAAGGGAAGCAATGAAACATGGGGGAACAACCCGAGAGGAGACATGCGTGGCGAGACACAGACACACACACGCACGTGGGTCAGCTGGGTTACAGGCACAGGCAGTAAACTGACAATGACGGTAAAAAAAAAACCCCAACAACACCGTGGCGTTAAAAGGAAACATTTTCTAAAAGGTGACATTTCGAGAACAATGGCCGTTCTTCACGCGTCTAGGGACACGGGTTATTGCCCGAAATGTCACCGATAATGACTGGGACTGTGTCACCTGCTCCGACTTACACAAAAGTCAGGGGCTTCATGAATGAGCAACAGAGGACCCTAACATTTATGTTGTGTGCGCATTAAAAAATGTGACGTCGGGAGCGATGCCACTGGGGTGCTCTTACGAGGTGCTTTGCTGTCATTTTAAGGACTTTTAACTCAAATTTCGATTTAAAGCTTTCGTGACTGCAGGGATTCATCTTCTTGGTTCTTTCGGTAAAGTCACGTGACTACACCGAAAGAACCAAGAAGATGGACCTTTAACTCACTTTGTATGTACAGTATGTATGTTGAACTTCTTTTGCACCGTACATAGTCGACCGTGCTAATCGTAGGTGAGCATGGTCGACTACGTACGGTGCTGTGGACAGATGTTGGACAACCAGAGGACACGCAGCCGATGACCGTATCGACAAGATTACATCGGATAGTAACGGCTGATGATGACGATGACAACAACGGTGATTACGAATAAAACAAGAAGCCCAGAGGGCTACGATAGAGCGGCAATCTGAGACTGGGCACTCTGTGACGACAGCGGAGGACTTTCCGCGTGCCGGCGGCAGCGTCTGACCCATCGTCCGTCACCTGATGAGGGCCTTCTCCCCAAAGTACCGTCCCACCCCCAACACCTCAATGTCCCGCGGCTCGTCGCGTCCCTCCTCGGCCTGCGTCACTCGCACCTTGAGGCCGCCAGACGTGAGGGGGAGCGGAGCCGAGGTTTGGCGAGATGGGTGGGTGGGGGGGAGAGGAGAGGAGGTTTGAAAGGAGCAGAGTCGCGAGGAATCACGGGCGTTAGGGTTAGGGCGTTAGTTGTCGGTCACTCGATCGCACAGGCAGCTGCGAGGAGGGGTACAACCAGAGGTGAGGGGCAGAAGAGGCACGAGGGGGAGACGTTGAACACCAGAAGTGACGGGCAAACGGAAAAGTGGAAAGGCCAACCCTGGCAAACGGGCGAGCGGCAAACTGGTGTGGGGCACAGCATGCTGGCCCTACCGATGACCCTAACCTGAACAAATTAGCCAATCAGCTGCTCGCATCTCCATCGTGTTTATCAAGTGTTGAGCCAGATGGGCCAGGATCGGGCCTATCAGGCGAGGTAGTTAACATCACTGCAGTGCCCTTGGAAGCTCAGTAATTGGGGCTCAGGATGGAAGTCAGTGCTGTGTCCGTGGAGGGCGACAGGAGACATTGTCGAGGTGGAGGTGAAAGCAGGAAGGTCAATTAGAGCCAGGCTAGAAGGGGCTTTTGTAGGAGACGGGAAGATCGTGGGACTTGTGAGCCGCATCCAATGCGATGTGGATTCACAGTAACATCAGCAGACAGGAGAGTGTGTCTGTGTGTGGGGGGTGGAAAGGCAGTGGTGAGCACGCTGCGCTACGAACCCAGTCATCCGAGTTCTATTGATTCTCGCTCACGGCCAACACCGTTGACGATTATCTGAACCGCTCCTGGGCCTCCCCTAGGTCGACTCAGCCTCAAATGAGTACCTGGTGCAGTGTGTAAAAACATCGCTACTGGGGGCCGTGGTGTTGGCCACACACGGACACACGCACGCGCGCGTGAAGCATTGGCGCGCGTGCGCACACACTCACCGAGCCACGGGCAATGATGAAGAAAGTGCTTCCCTCCTCGCCCTGTCGGATGATGTACTCGCCCTTGACGTAGCTCTCCTGGCGTTGGGAAGAGTCAGGGCAGAGGGGGACGGGGAGAGAGGACAGTTTTTGGGGGGGTCGGAAGCGAGGCGGAGGGGGGGGGCGAATGTGCGGCAAAAAACAATCGGGGAGCTGCGACGCTCCAGAGACGGGTCCCGCACACCTGAACCATCGGTCGGGCAACTTGAATGCGTTGCGAGTGAATCGGCTGTGTGCAACCCGAGGCTGTAATTATAATATATATTGGAGGGGGACACATCCCCCCCCAATATTAAATTATGCTCAAAATGTCCCCCCCAATATATTGCAATAAAATAGATTTCTGTTTATATGATTGTGGTTATGGTTGTACTTTATTAATCCCGAATCTCTGCCATTACATACAATGAAACAAGAAAAGGTAAAAAAGAAAAAACGGAGCAATGTAATACAATACACTATTAGACATTATTGTAAAACATAAAAAAGTCCATCCTATGTGTTAGTGAATTTTTTAATATTTTAGGCAGGAAATGTCAGGAAATTCGTTTTCAAATTTAGATTTTTTTTCTGGTGGGGGGACCCCCAGACCCCCCGCAAGATTTGCCCCCCCAATGTTGACTCCATGGCTACGGCCTTGGTGCAACCCGAGGCATTCACAGGAGTGTTGAATCTTCTTGGTTCTTTCGGTAAAGTCACGTAGAATGGAAATAATAAAATAATAAAAATAAAACATAATAAAATAATTCTCACGACGATTCGGCCACAACGCAAGCAGCCGTCCTCAGGTGAAGAACAGGTCTGTCGAGTAGACAGTCTGAAGACAGACCTGCTCTCCACCTGAGGACAGCTGCTTGCGTTGTGGCCAAAACTTTGTGAGAATTATTTAATAATGTTTTATTTTTATTATTTTATTATTTCCATTCTACGTGACTTTACCGAAAGAACCAAGAAGATGAATCCCTGCAGTCACGAAAGGAGCGTTGAAGTTGCACGATTTTGAGAGCGATTGGTGGCGCAGAGCGATCGCTCAGGTGTGTGGAGCCGCCTTAGGGTACCCCACCAGCCCAGCCCAGCGGATCGACTCATTCTCGCAGCCTCGGTCAGACACAAAGACTCAGAGAGCCCGAATAGACTGTTGGGGAAAGTGCCTGTTAGCGAGTACCTATAAAGGTCGGCACGGCACACGAGGGGTGGGTAGCCCGCACCAGGCCCGACCGCCTTTGTCTCCCCCACATTGTAAGCCAGGTATGCCGAGTCAACCGAGGGAGGCCCAGGACTGGTTCAGATATTTGTGACTGGTGGTGTTGGCCGTGAGCGGGAATCGAACCCGGGTCGCCGGGTTCGTAGCGCAGCATGCTAACCACTATACTACCGCTCCCCACACACACACGTGTGTGTGTGTGGGGAGCGGTAGTATAGTGGTTAGCACTAGTGGCCACATAGTGAGGAGATGGGCAGACAGCCGCACGTGCACACACCGCGGGTAGGTGACACCGTGCTAAGCAGAGAATAAAAATAGCTCAGAGATAAACCGAGCGGCACTCAAGAACTCGGTGAACCCCGGCTCTCGCGAGGCTCCGGTGGAGAGAGAATGCCGGTGGAAATTGTTCACGCCTCCAGCGGCTGTGACTTAAAAGGATTCAAATTGGCACGTTTTAAAATCCATACCACTTACGGGGGATGTGCGCATTAGTGTTTCTGAGCCACACATGAAGATAAATATTTAGATTCTCAATTTAATGGTTTTGTTAGAGTAAGCAAAATCGCAGTCACAGACTTTACCAATGTGGCTCTGTAATATGGAAGAGTAAAAACAATTAATTGCACTGGAATTATGAAGTCACGAACTTTTTTTGAAAAAAATTGATATATATTTACCAGCATCTTCGTGCGAGGGATAATTGCTGCAACGGTGTCAAGCACGAGATTGTGCAGATGTGTTTCATGAACACCTCTAATTATTTTCCACTTATCGAAATCAGTGGGGGGACTGCCTCCCATGGCTCGTCAGACCAAGGGGCGGTGTCCTCTACCTCCAAGTCGCTGTCAATTCTCGTCAGTGCTTCACGCGATGTGACAATCCCACCACGGAAAGAAATGAACTCCTTCACTAAAATGCGCCAAGCACATCAGATGGCTTCAGTTTGTCGGTTTGGCTGCTGTGGAGGTCACATGGCCTGGCTGAAGGTTAAAGGGTATAGACGCAGCCCGGCTCTTTTTCTTTCGTAATTGCTGACGGAAGGGCCTCCACGAGATCCAGAGCCCCCACGAGACCCAGAGCCCCCGCTAGAGGGTATTTTGGCTCTTCTCTTCCTCACTGGCCAGATGTCTTCGAAGAGGCGGGGGTGGGTGCCCACACCTCCAATTAGCACGGTTGGCTACGTACGATGTGAAAGAAGTTCAACATTTTTACTTACCCCAGCAAACGCAACCTTCACCTTAATTAATTGTGGCATACCCGTTTCTAACAATGGGTAGCGGGGGAGATTCAAGAAACTCACGCCACTTGTTTCAGCTGCCGTGCCGGGAGATGAAACCGAACCATTGTTCTGACCATTCCACCACGGCAGCTTCCCACTGTAAGGGCGGCCGGCTATCAACTCTGCCAGCTCGTGCGTTTGAGGCCCACGAGACCGCCAGTTTGCTCCTTGACTGATGGGCCGGTCGATTGAATCGACTTTGCTGACCCATGGACGGTGGGCAGGGGGCCACGTGATTTACGGGACTTTAGATGAGGGTTTAATCCAGGATGTGGTTGGGGGAGGGGGGGTATTGCCGCTCACCACCTCCATGCAGTCCACGATGCGTGCGAGCTTCTCTTCGGGCAGCTGTCTGAGCAGAGACACGCTGGGGGAACGGTGGGGGGGGGGGGGGGGGGGTGCAGAGAGGAAGGAGGGAGTGATTGATGGGAGAATTAAAGAGTCCGAGCCAATAATCTGTGAACTCCAGGCCTTCCATTGACAGACGCGCGAAAACCTCATCGTTTAGCTGATCGACTGGTGGGGACGGTGGACCATGCCCGGAGTTGTCAAACCACAAATTAAACGAACGAATCGCATCCATTCTAATTGAATTCGAATGTTGACAAGTGAGGGTTGTAGAGGTTTCAAACATTACACGTTTTTTTTTCTTCCGAAAAATATTTTGAATTCTGAAAGAGAAAAAAAACAACCAAACTAACGAACAAACGTCGGCGTTGTGGCGAGGCAGGCAGGTGGTGCGACGGTGCCCTCCGTCAGTGGCAACTAAAAAGAACCTGAACCTGGCCCTGCGTCTCGTTCAATTCGAATCGGAATAAGCAAGTGGCCCATGTTTACACCATTGGAACCTCATTTGTCAGTAAAAATATGATCATTGGTTTGCATTATGATTGCAGGTATTGTGGTCTATGTAAACATGACTCCTTGTAAAAAAAGGTGTCAGTTTTGTTGCCAGATAGAAGGGTAAAAAAACAATTATCAAGTGGCCCATGCGCAATGCGTGCCACCACGCGCATGGGGGCGGGGGGTGGGGGGGGGAGACAAAGGAGGCTGTGGGCATCCCGTGACGCTTGACTGCATCGCTCTCTCTGGTGCGCCGTGCCGGCTTTCAGTAGACGCTCAAGGGCAGCACTTGCCTCCAATGCCCTATCGGGGTAAATGCGGGGGGATCCTTTGTGGCTCGGGCACAGAGGGATGGGTTTGGTGCCTGTGTTGAAAGCGGCACCGTGCGTGCGGTGTCGGTGAAGAGAAACACCCGTGCCACGAGGTAGTGCCATGCGGTGTAACAGGGGTGTTGGGAGCCACGTGGTTTAGCAGCAGTGCCCCACGGTGCAGTACGCTTTTATGCGTCGCTGCGTAGTATGGCGTGATGTGGTAGCGGCGTGCCGGTGGCGGGCTGGTATCCGTGCGGTGTGGTTCATGGTTCCGCGCGGCCACGGTGCGGTGCGTTGCAAAAGCAACACGGAGCGGTTACGAGCGCGGTGCCGTGCGGTACGTCAGAGTGAAGCACGGCGTGGTGGCGCTGTAGCGTGACGTAGCGCGATGGCGGCGCGGTGCCGTGCGGTGCAAGGAGGCTCGGTGCTGGGGCAGCAGCGCGACATTACGCAGTGCGATTACGCGCACGTGGTTCGGTACGAAGAAGTGCGGCGTGGCGGAGGCGGTGTGTGTTACAGCGGCACCGCGGCGCGCGTCACACCTGCGCAGGAAGCACACGTGCTCCTGGTGCCGCGCCTGCTCCTCCCGGATGACGATCGCCTGGAACGTGAGGCGGTCGAGCACCCAGACGCGCACCGCCGTCACCGCTGCAGTTGGCCGCACAATGGGGGGGGGGGGGGGGGGGGCGGAACGGTGGGACGGTGGCGGGGGGTGATGGGGAGGCGGCAGTCACTTCAATTCAAGGGTTTTATTTGTTATTGATTTAAAACCGGGCACTTAAGAGAGCACATGAAGGTGACCTGGGATGCAGGTTTTGAGCCTGGACAGAGCTCCGATGGGCGACCGCCAAGCATCGAGCAGGCTGCTGCGGGAGATGTCACCAGCAGGAGCAAGTGCAGCAGCGCCAAGCGTTGTACGCGACTGCACTACATGCCCCGGTGTCTTACGTGCTGCATCGTGCACCAATGCCGATGTGAAGATGCTCCACGCAAAAACAGACAGCGCTCATCTTGAAGACACACCGTCCGCCAACCCTTGCCTACAAAGCGATGGCTCTCACAGGAGTGCACGGCCGTTGTGCGGCAGCTCGCGAGGAATAAACTAAACTATTAAAAAAACTAAATATATATATTACCAGGTAAGACCCACCGAGCTGTACAGCTCTTTGTCAGAAGCGACCTGGCCACAAACGACAGCTCCACGAAGCGGCTTATCACGTGCAAATTTATAGCAGCCAAATACTCTAAGCGCTTGATGTTCATTCTACTTGTGGAGGTAAAAACTCGTCGCTCTTTTCACGGGGAGAGAGACATGCAAACTCCAAATACACAGCAGGCATCAGGGTCAGGATCGAACCCACGACCTCCTGCACAGCAGGCGAGGTAGTCAACATCTCCACGGGGAGAGAGACGCAATCTCCAAATATACAGCAGCAGGCATCAGGGTTTGGATCGAACCCACGACCTCCTGCACACCAGTCGAGGTAGTCAACATCTCACCACTGGCGAGATAAACAGTAGAACAGTGGAGCAATAGTTAGCGCACTTCATCAACCCGCATTAACCGGTGTGGTGAAGTACGGTCAAACAACCCCCGCCCCCGCCACCACCCCGTGACCAGCTTGGCATGCGGAGGCATTCATCCAGCAGTGGATTGCAAGAGGCCTGCTGAATAGCAGCAAGAGACGAGCACGCGTTGGTGGGGACGGCACCTTTGACAGTGGCGGTGCGCTTGCAGTTGTAGAGGATGGCCAGCTCCCCAAACACGGTGCCGGGGTGCATGTGGCCCAGGCAGGTGCCCCTCTGCTGCATCTCCACCACACCCTCTGGCCATTAGCATCGTCATTAGCATCGTCATCAGCAGCGTCAGCAGCATCATCATTAGCATTATCATTAGCATTATCAGCATCCTCATCAGCATCATCATCATTTGCATCTGCATACTCATTAGCATCGTCATTAGCATCGTCGTTAGCATCATCAGCGTCGTTATTAGCATCATCATTAGCAGCAGCGTCCTTAGCAGGAGGATCATTAGCAGATTCATCATTATCATCATGATTAGCATAATAAGCATCGACATTAGCATCAGCCTCGTCAGCAGCATCAGCATCATCAGCAGCATCGTAATTAGCATCAGCATCAGCGTCGTCAGCAACTGCAGTAGGAGCATCATCATTAGCATCTTCAGGAACTGCAGCATTTAGCATCACCAGTATTTGTATCATCAGTAGCAGCAACGGTATTTATATATTTTATCTCAGGCATCACCACTAAAAGTTGCAGCAGCAGCAGTCACCGAAGCATCCTAATCACTTATCCTCATCATCAACATCATCATCAGAATCATGGTCAGTAAGTTTTGAAATGCCATTAACCAGCATCATCATCATCAGCAGTGTCACCAAAATGTTTCATCAGCATCATTATCAAATATAGTGGTCTAAGTCCCGCTCACAGCCAACACCAGTGACGATTATCGCAACCGGTCCTGGGCCTCCCCTAGGTCGACTCAGCCTCATACGAGTACCTAGTGCGATGTGTAAACATCGCCACAGGGGAGAAAAAGGCGGTCGGGCGTGGTGCTGGCCACCACCCCCTCGTGTGCCATGCCGGCCTTCATAGGTGCTCGCTAACAGCACTTGCCCCTACAGTCTGTTACAGGCTACACGGGGGATCGTTGTCTTTGTGTCTGACCGAGGCTGCTAGAATGAGTAGGATCGCTAGGCTGAGCGATCGGTGGTTGCACCACCAATCGCTCTCCAAATTGTGCAACTCAACTCTCGTTTGTGGAGGAGAGCGTGGCGGCGTGGTATGGTGAGCATGGCGGTGTGTGGTGCGGAGAGTGTGACGGCGTGGTATGGTGAGCATGGCGGTGTGTGTGGTGAGGAGGAGAGTGTGATGGCGTGGTATGGCGAGCATGGCGGTGTGTGTGATGAGGAGAGTGTGACGGCGTGGTATGGCGAGCATGGTGGTGTGTGGTGCGGAGGAGAGTGTGACGGTGTGGTATGGTGAGCATGGCGGTGTTTGTGGTGCAGAGGAGAGTGTGACGGCGTGGTATGGTGAGCATGGTGGTGTGTGGTGCGGAGGAGAGTGTGACGGTGTGGTATGGTGAGCATGGCGGTGTTTGTGGTGCAGAGGAGAGTGTGACGGCGTGGTATGGTGAGCATGGCGGTGTGTGGTGCGGAGGAGAGTGTGACGGCGTGGTATGGTGAGCATGGCGGTGTGTGGTGCGGAGGAGAGTGTGACAGCGTGGTATGGCGAGCATGGCGGTGTGTGGTGCGGAGGAGAGTGTGACGGCGTGGTATGGCGAATGGTGGTGTGTGGTGCGGAGGAGAGCGTGACGGCGTGGTATGGTGAGCATGGTGGTGTGTGGTGTGGAGGAGAGCGTGACGGCGTGGTATGGTGAGCATGGCGGTGTGTGGTGCGGAGGAGAGTGTGACGGCGTGGTATGGCGAGCATGGTGGTGTGTGGTGCGGTGGAGAGCGTGACGGCGTGGTATGGTGAGCATGGTGGTATGTGGTGCGGAGGAGAGTGTGACGGCGTGGTATGGCGAGAATGGTGGTGTGTGTGGTGCGGAGGAGAGTGTGACGGCGTGGTATGGCGAGCATGGTGGTGTGTGTGGTGCGGAGGAGAGTGTGGCAGCGTGGTATGGCGAGCATGGTGGTGTGTGTGGTGCGGAAAAGAGTGTGACGGCGTGGTATGGTGAGCATGGCGGTGTGTGGTGCGGAGGAGAGTGTGACAGCGTGGTATGGTGAGCATGGCGGTGTGTGGTGCGGAGGAGAGTGTGACGGCGTGGTATGGTGAGCATGGTGGTGTGTGGTGCGGAGGAGAGTGTGACGGCGTGGTATGGCGAGCATGGCGGTGTGTGGTGCGGAGAGTGTGACGGCGTGGTATGGCGAGCATGGTGGTGTGTGTGGTGCGGAGGAGAGTGTGACGGCGTGGTATGGCGAGCATGGTGGTGTGTGGTGCGGAGGAGAGCGTGACGGCGTGGTATGGCGAGCATGGCGGTGTGTGGTGCGGAGGAGAGTGTGACGGCGTGGTATGGTGAGCATGGCGGTGTGTGGTGCGGAGGAGAGCGTGACGGCGTGGTATGGCGAGCATGGTGGTGTGTGGTGCGGAGGAGAGTGTGACGGCGTGGTATCGCGAGCATGGCGGTGCGTGGTGCGGAGGAGAGTGTGACGGCGTGGTATGGCGAGCATGGTCGTGTGTGGTGCGGAGGAGAGCGTGACGGCATGGTATGGCGAGCATGGTGGTGTGTGGTGTGGAGGAGAGTGTGACGGCGTGGTATGGCGAGCATGGTGGTGTGTGGTGAGGAGGAGAGTGTGACGGCGTGGTATGGTGTGCATGGTGGTGTGTGGTGCGGAGGAGAGTGTGACGGCGTGGTATGGCGAGGATGGTGGTGTGTGGTGCGGAGGAGAGTGTGACGGCGTGGTATGGCGAGCATGGTGGTGTGTGGTGAGGAGGAGAGTGTGACGGCGTGGTATGGCGAGCATGGTGGTGTGTGTGGTGAGGAGGAGAGTGTGACGGCGTGGTATGGCGAGCATGGTGGTGTGTGTGGTGAGGAGGAGAGTGTGACGGCGTGGTATGGCGAGGATGGTGGTGTGTGGTGAGGAGGAGAGTGTGACGGCATGGTATGGCGAGGATGGTGGTGTGTGGTGCGGAGGAGAGTGTGACGGCGTGGTATGGCGAGCATGGTGGTGTGTGGTGCGGAGGAGAGTGTGACGGCGTGGTATGGCGAGCATGGTGGTGTGTGGTGAGGAGGAGAGTGTGACGGCGTGGTATGGCGAGGATGGTGGTGTGTGGTGAGGAGGAGAGTGTGACGGCGTGGTATGGCGAGCATGGTGGTGTGTGGTGCGGAGGAGAGTGTGACGGCGTGGTATGGCGAGCATGGTGGTGTGTGGTGAGGAGGAGAGTGTGACGGCGTGGTATGGCGAGCATGGTGGTGTGTGGTGAGGAGAGTGTGACGGCGTGGTATGGCGAGCATGGCGGTGTGTGTGGTGCGGAGGAGAGTGTGACAGCGTGGTATGGTGAGCATGGCGGTGTGTGGTGCGGAGGAGAGTGTGACGGCGTGGTATGGTGAGCATGGTGGTGTATGGTGCGGAGGAGAGTGTGACGGCGTGGTATGGCGAGCATGGCGGTGTGTGGTGCGGAGGAGAGCGTGACGGCGTGGTATGGTGAGCATGGCGGTGTGTGGTGCGGAGGAGAGCGTGACGGCGTGGTATGGCGAGCATGGTGGTGTGTGGTGCGGTGGAGAGTGTGACGGCGTGGTATGGTGAGCATGGTGGTGTGTGGTGCGGAGGAGAGTGTGACGGCGTGGTATGGCGAGCATGGTGGTGTGTGGTACGGAGGAGAGTGTGACGGCGTGGTATGGTGAGCATGGCGGTGTGTGGTGCGGAGGAGAGTGTGACAGCGTGGTATGGTGAGCATGGCGGTGTGTGGTGCGGAGGAGAGTGTGACGGCGTGGTATGGTGAGCATGGTGGTGTGTGGTGCGGAGGAGAGTGTGACGGCGTGGTATGGCGAGCATGGAGGTGTGTGGTGCGGAGAGTGTGACGGCGTGGTATGGCGAGCATGGTGGTGTGTGTGGTGCGGAGGAGAGTGTGACGGCGTGGTATGGCGAGCATGGTGGTGTGTGGTGCGGAGGAGAGCGTGACGGCGTGGTATGGCGAGCATGGCGGTGTGTGGTGCGGAGGAGAGTGTGACGGCGTGGTATGGTGAGCATGGCGGTGTGTGGTGCGGAGGAGAGCGTGACGGCGTGGTATGGCGAGCATGGTGGTGTGTGGTGCGGAGGAGAGTGTGACGGCGTGGTATCGCGAGCATGGCGGTGCGTGGTGCGGAGAAGAGTGTGACGGCGTGGTATGGCGAGCATGGTGGTGTGTGGTGCGGAGGAGAGCGTGACGGCGTGGTATGGCGAGCATGGTGGTGTGTGGTGCGGAGGAGAGTGTGACGGCGTGGTATGGCGAGCATGGTGGTGTGTGGTGAGGAGGAGAGTGTGACGGCGTGGTATGGTGTGCATGGTGGTGTGTGGTGCGGAGGAGAGTGTGACGGCGTGGTATGGCGAGGATGGTGGTGTGTGGTGCGGAGGAGAGTGTGACGGCGTGGTATGGCGAGCATGGTGGTGTGTGGTGCGGAGGAGAGCGTGACGGCGTGGTATGGCGAGCATGGTGGTGTGTGGTGCGGAGGAGAGTGTGACGGCGTGGTATGGCGAGCATGGCGGTGTGTGGTGAGGAGGAGAGTGTGACGGCGTGGTATGGTGTGCATGGTGGTGTGTGGTGCGGAGGAGAGTGTGACGGCGTGGTATGGCGAGGATGGTGGTGTGTGGTGCGGAGGAGAGTGTGACGGCGTGGTATGGTGAGCATGGTGGTGTGTGGTGAGGAGGAGAGTGTGACGGCGTGGTATGGCGAGGATGGTGGTGTGTGGTGCGGAGGAGAGTGTGACGGCGTGGTATGGCGTTGATGGTGGTGTGTGGTGCGGAGGAGAGTGTGACGGCGTGGTATGGCGAGGATGGTGGTGTGTGGTGCGGAGGAGAGCGTGACGGCGTGGTATGGCGAGCATGGTGGTGTGTGGTGAGGAGGAGAGTGTGACGGCGTGGTATGGCGAGCATGGTGGTGTGTGTGGTGAGGAGGAGAGTGTGACGGCGTGGTATGGCGAGCATGGTGGTGTGTGTGGTGAGAAGGAGAGTGTGACGGCGTGGTATGGCGAGAATGGTGGTGTGTGGTGCGGAGGAGAGTGTGACAGCGTGGTATGGCAAGCATGGTGGTGTGTGGTGAGGAGGAGAGTGTGACGGCGTGGTATGGCGAGGATGGTGGTGTGTGGTGCGGAGGA